AGACCTGAATGAGTACTTTGCGAACCGAGATAATAATTTCATTATCTCTTCTAATACAAGAGCTGAACAAACAAAAAGCGATATCACTCTCATGGCTACCGTTCTCGAACCTTTGCTCATTTGAGATGTCTAACGCTCGAACCATTAAACAAGGTAAAATACAGTTACATGCTGTTAAGTGTAAAATTGGATTGCTTGTTTGCTGTGTGGCTATAGTTAGTGTCATGATAAAACACTGATATGCATCGGCTAGATATACATCTTGTTATTTAACTAAAAAAGAGAGCGGGGTCAAGAAATATTGTGTAGTTTATTTTTATCGGTTTACGTTTTCACTGAATTTTAGGAGAAAAAATAGAAAACAGAATATACAAAGTTGACGATAGCTATATTTCAAAATATTAAAAAACCTGTACGCTATATAACGTCGATCAAAAGAGGTCGCAAAGAAGATGATTGATCGATCAATCGTATATCTTAACTATTCTTGTACTAGCTGAAGTAGAACGAGTTTAAACAAACGAATATTCTCTGTTTACGTTTGTAAAGCTATGCGTATTTCAGTCAACATTGACCTATTGTAATCACTAACATTCTAATCGATAAATGTGATAAATGAATAAATCAATGTAGCGGTATTGTATCAAATGATCGGTGCAGTGCGTTATTGTGCAGTTTTTAAATGTTGTCTGAAAAGTATCCTGAAGTTAAGATAAATAAGATGTTTAGTGTGCATCCAGCGAACGTTAGAGAAGATGAAATATACTGACATTGAATGAATGCAAAATTAACATTGAAGTTAACACTATGGAATGCCGCTAAAAGATTTCTCAATACTGATTTTGAATCAGTAACAGATGTTGAGAAAAATCGGTTATAAATCAAGCCTGCATCAAACTGTGAAAATCGACATCAATCAATTGTCTTAGTATCAAATGCTCTAAAATACGACTGATAAGAGTTCTATTTCTGTGAGAAAGAAGATGAGTTATCGTTTATTTTCTCAAAAATCGCTGTATAACCCTACGTAAAAGTGGTTAAGACATCATCGCGCTGTATGTTCGTATATCAAAAAATCCCACATTCAATCAATATCCTTGTATTTTCCTGCTATAACAAATAACTTCGACAGAATCATATTCTTTTTATTCTGTCAAAATCTGTCAGCATCACACAACGATATATATTGGTCTTTCTTTCTCTTTGTACTCTTTTATTTGTGTGGAATTATTCATTGCCTCCATCTCCTGCTCATTTTGGAAAATAATAATAAATCTGAAGAAAGTCAACACATGAGACATTAATGTTCGCTATGCTAATAAACACATACATACACACACATAATAATAATAATAATAGTAATAAAGTTTTTTTTCCTCTTTCGGTCGTTCTAGTCAAATCTACACTGCAACACATCTATATAAACACACATCATTTATGCAAACAAGGTCAAAGGAAGAATTTATTTTGTTTTCAATTAACTATTTTGGAACAATACAGCTGTCATCATCTACATTCAATACATCTATCGGGAAAAAAAGCATAAGAGAGAAAGAGAGAACCATTTGGATATCGGTATGACTTGTTAATTTGAGATCAAGTGAGTTTTAATATGACGGTTTGTATCGTACCAATATAACAGCAATCATAATCTAGTTTACATCTCATAATATAGTTTACATTGAGAGATGAATTATCTGGTGGACGTATAACTATATACTAAGTAATGTTGATGTTTATATTTCTTTGGTTATGGTCTAATGAGATTGTCTTTCATTATTGTTGCTTCTGGTTAAAGATAAATATTTAGCAGCTTTCTTCATCTACTTTATCACTCTATGTCGAGCATAATAGTGTTAAGGCGCTGTTAATTCGAAAATATTTTCATAGATCTGAAGTATATTCAATAACTAATTGGTGAGTGATAGGTGTGTCCGACGTTATATGATATGAAAAATATTAAGGTTGTATACTATTTGTTCTAAAATTTGCTTGTTTTTGTAGATTCAGTTCTACACAATCCTTTTTATTTATAAATCCAGATTTCCCGTTACTTGTAAAAAGTGTATTATATTTAACACAAGTCATTCTCCCAATGTAATTTTTTCTGCGATAGAATAGATCAATTTTGAGATTAATATTTCTCACTATCAATCAAAACGAGCTAATTGATTTAGTCGACGCCTGCGGATCAATTTTGATTTGCACTTCGATTCTAAGAAGTACATTTTAAGAGTAAAACAATCTGAGTATAGTCAAAATGACTGTAGAAGAGAGATGTATAAAAAGATTTAGGAGAGTCCATACTTTTTCCATTAACGCATATGTGTATTTGTACAGATGATGGCTACAATTTCCATATTTGAAAAGTAAAGATTTGAAGTCAGAAACGTTGAGATAGAACTAATATTCATTGTATTATTTTTAGTTGTCAAAATGTTAAAATCTATTTTGTTTCTAATATAGAGAGAAATTTTAAGCTAAACAGATTGACTGTGTATCTGACAAACATATCACAACTTATAGCCATATCATAGAATTAAGGCTTAAAATTATCATCTAATACTTAGTACGAATTAAAAACAATATACCCAGTAATAGGAATAATGGGTAAGTTGGATGAATATCGCCTATTTACGTATCATTTGACAACATTTCGTTGATAATCAAAAACAAATTAATGTGATTACAATAACAGATTAGTAAGAAGAAGAATGACAAAGCTCATAGAAATATCATTGTTTATACGACAAAATCGAAATATGTTTTTATTTCAGCCTGTTCTGTTTTATACCCCCCCCCCCCCTCTCCAGAATAGAAGAGTTATGTCGCGTTTCTGACATGAAAGACAAATAGAAGACAAGATCCTGTATTCATTTTAAGCAGCAATGATTTTAAGGTTTTTGTGTATAAACCTAGACATCAGTTAGGAACAGAGTTGACAGATGGTCCACATTTTATGGATAAATTCCGGATTTTTGAGTTTTTTCCGCAAGCTATTCGCTGTCTGCTATTTATCCGTATTTTAAGCATTTTCTACTTTTGCTATTTTTCGTTTAAACTGATCGTTATCATGTACTGGAATTTATGATTAAGTCTTATCAACGCCAGGACTGCTTAAACTTATTATTCTAATCAGAAATATAGTAAAAAAACAACGTGTCAATTAAAATCGAGATTTGCATTTCTGTTCTCTTGCATTTTTGTTTGACTTGCATTTGTTGTTCTCTTGTATTTTATTGAGTAAAACACAAAGTGCTAGAGAAAACATTTTTTTGACTCCCTGTTCGTGAAAAAGGATGACGTTAGATAATGAAAATGCGTTTCCGTTTTCTTTCCGCATTCTGACAAAATTTTCCGCAATTTTCCGCATTGTGGAATTTTTATTCCGCATTTCTATCCTGAGCATCTGGCAACTCTTGTTTGGGCAGAAATAAAATGATGCCGTATATGCGCTTTTGATCTCGTAAGCAAAGCAAAAGGATGATCAAATATATTTATATAAATATATATATTTATCTATGCGTAAACAGATGCAACCGTGAGGAAAATAGCAGAATTTAACCTATCAATGTGTGCGGAAATGAACAAATTTCCCTATTTTGGAGATCAGCTAATTATATAATATAAATAATGCTTTGAAATTCTCGACACATTGTTGTTGTTGAGTGAACAACATTTTTACACCGTTAATATTAATCATTAAACATGATAGAAGAAGCACATTTATTACCATCTTTATTTGAACGTGGAAAATCATTTTGGTGACAAAAAAAGTGATCAAATAAAAGAGAAAAATAGAATATACAAAATAGAAATCAGTTTTCCTATGAAAAAGGGCATTAACTCTCCTGACAGACGGAAAAAATTATACCGCAAAAGAAAACTATCAAAGGGACCATGATTTGACAAAACATATTAGAAGACCACTGGTATTCTATTCTGGGGGGAGAGCACTGTGCATTTTCCCCAGGCCAGTCGGATACGTCCCTTTTTTGGTCAGCAACAATTGTTTTCACTTGGACATAATTGACTATCATTCAGAGAGTCACTTCAGGGCACAAAGAAGTTTTTTTTGACAATAATATCTATGAGCACCAAGTTTTTATAAAACGTTGTAAAAATGTTGTTTAAAAATGTTTATATCATGCATCATTAGATGCAGTTTTTCTAGCTGATTTCGAATATAACCTTGGTTTTTGGTTAAAAGTGTTCATAGATCGAGGAAATTTGATTTTAGCTGAAAAACCTCTATCGAAGTCCGAGAACGATCGCGCAATTCGACGCAAGTGTAACAGATGTAGCACATGTAGACAAACATTTTGACAGAGTTTGAGCAATTTTGAAGATAGAGACTAAAGGGGATGCTCACTATACTAAATATAGCCAGCCGAAAACATTGTTAGCTTGGAAAGTTAATTTTCTTTCTCTAACAGTTTAAGTCCAAACTGAGAAATGTTTTCACTATTATATAGCTAAAAGTATCTTAATTCAGAATATCTGTCGTCCAAGTATGTAAGTTCGATATATTAAATTAAAAAAGCCTTTTCTGAGCCTTTTCTTTTGCCTTTGAAAAGCCTGTGTTTCTGAACCCGTCTTCAGTCAAGTGTTTTCCGAAGAACTTTAGCAGTTGGAACAAAACTTTTAACGCCATCAAATAATCCCATCTATTGAAGTACATTTATCCACGTTCAATTCTTAAAAACACACACTTTCGATGTTTGGCTAAATGTCCGCCTGGATGCACACTCATTATTGAGCACAGTTACGTGACGAAAGAAACAGTATAAAATTTTAATAAATTAAATTAACTATATTCATGCATAATTTTTTCTTTCTTTCCTTCTCGTCTAATTTCTTTTAATCATTACAATGAATTTATTTTTTGTTTTTTTTTATATTAGATTTTCAATAATTTAGTCACAAAATAGTTGCCAATGGTACTTGTTCCATATACACATGTTAAACAAGTGTATATGAATGAATAGTTTAGTGGAAAAATGAATGATACAAATAGTTTAGATCCTGATTGTAATGGTGAACGTTATTGGTTTGCATTTTTACTATCAAGTTTAGTAACGTTTATTCTTGGCGTACTCTGTATTTTAATATGGAGATTATTGTCATTAGTTTTTGTTCGAAAAAGATCATCAATTATTATTGAGGCAAGTATTTAATTAAAAAAACATGAGAAGTTTTATCTCAAAACAAAGATATTTATAGTTCTTTTTTTCTATCTGTATTAAACTATTGTGTTAAGAATGATAGACGAGATAATATTCAAGCGTACGATCCTATCGAACGCAATTGGGCTACAATAATTAAAGAACAAGCTATCAAACTGATATCCGGACAACAAACACCAGGAAAAATTTTGGTAATTTTATGTTTATATATTAATTTCTATTTACACCTATTTATCTCTTTCTATTTAGGTTACCACTGTGGTAGTATTGAGTTTAGCATCACTTGTAATATATTTTTATGATGTTACAACTCAGTATGTTTATAAAATATTTTATGTTTAAATAGATATTTTTAAGTAAAATAACATATCACTTTTTTCCTTTTGTAGGCCCATTGAATCATGTCAGAATTGGAGTGAAAATGTTACACAACAGATCGATTTAGCATTTAATGTATTTTTCTTGTTTTATTTTTTTCTTCGTGTAAGTATAAAGTAATATAGATCTACTTTATATAATTCTTGTTTTCATTATTTATAGTTTGTTGCTGCTCAAGATAAATTAAAATTTTGGTGTTTGGATATTCACTCGTTTGTTGACTATTTTACCATACCTCCATCTTTTACAGCAATTGTTCTTGGTAGAAATTGGATCGGTAAGTTGTTTAATATTGAATTAGAATAACATCAATTCTTTAGTAATAAATGTGCTTTTATTTAGGAATGAGATTTGTTCGTATTGCTCGTATTATGAATATACCGGAAATATTGCAATTTTTACATATATTAAAAAGTAGCAATTCAATTCGTTTATCTCGAATGTTTTGTCTTGTACTTACTGTATGGTTTAGTGCTGCAGGATTTGTACATTTAGTGAGTACTTCTATTTATTATTATATTAATTTGTGGAGCCGCTCTCGCTCTCCGTTTTATCGTATTTTAAAGGTCGAGAATTCTGGTGATTTTTTTCAAAATTATTCAAATTCTCAAACAATATCCTATTTTCAATGTGTTTACTTTTTGATTGTTACTTTGAGGTATGTTGATTATGATGTATTTAAATTACCAGATAAATATTGTTTTTTACTTTGTTTAGCACTGTTGGATATGGCGATTTTTACTTGAGAACAGTTCGTAGTATTCAGTATGTTTTTGTCTGTGGAATTAGCTGTTAAAATTGAATACATTTAATTGATAATTATCGAAAATATCTTTAGACGGTTGGTCAATGTTTCATTATCTTTTTCATTACTGGTGGTTTGGTATGTATCGCATACATAATCAAATAAAATATAAATAATATTAATTCATTATATTTCTTTTTATCTGTAATTAATATAGGCATTATTTGCCAGTGCAATTCCAGAATTGGCTGAAATGTTTTCTAGTAAGAAAAAATATGGTGGCGAATATAGATGTGAATATGGAAAAAAGTAAGATAGATTAAAAAAATCTTAACTATTTAACGACATCATTATGACTTAGTAATAATTTCATGCGTATTAGATTTTCTTATTATATGTAACATGTTTGTTTTCAGATTTGTTGTTGTATGTGGTCATATAACGTTTACATCCGTTGAAAATTTTCTCAAAGATTTTTTACACGAAGATCGTATTAATAGTGATGAATTTTATGATTCTGATGTACTTATTGCTGACAAGTTAGCCTATGTACTGACTTTTATATGTCTGAATCAACTTTTGATTATTTTTTTCCAATAGAAAACGAACAGTAGATTTTGAATTTCAAGCTTTGTTAAAACGACATTTTACTCGAGTAAAATATTTTGATGCAACAGTAATGGATCCTGTTGATCTTGAGCGAATTAAGGTAATTTATGTCATAATGAGATTGCGAAAAAGATATATAACTAAAATTATTGATATAACATTTCCATTAGATAAAACGATCCGAAACAATTTTAATATTGGCAAATAAGGATGCTAGTGATCCGGATGGAGAAGATGCTAGTAATATAATGAGAGTAATTAGCATTAAAAATTATCATCCTGATGCTAAAATCATAGTTCAATTATTGCAATATCATAACAAAGTATGATATAAACGCTATTTATTTATTTATTTATTTATTTTAAGTAATGATCTTTGTTAAATCTTAGATGCACTTAATGAACATATCTTCATGGAATAATAGCATTGATGAGGCAGTTTGTATTGCAGGTATTTAATAGCAAGCTATACTCGTTAGGTGTACATACAGATAACGCTTCAGTATCATTAAAAAGTTCGGACAACGTGAAATTCGCCGTCGTACACTTTCGCAATTGCGAAAGTCATGACTTGAACTAAAAATGACTGTCCACCAAAACTAAACTTTCGGTAAATTGCCGAAATTCTGACTTCAGATACGGCGAAAGTCCGATGAAAAACGTACGACGTCGAAGTTCATGGTATCCAAAAGCTCTCATAATAACAATAAATTAATTAAAATTTTATACCATATTTTAATCATTCAATTTCAGCTCTAGACTATTTGTAGTAGTTAAATGCTTTGACATTTTAGAGTTAAAGTTGGGATTGATTGCTGAAAGTTGTTTGAATCCTGGATTTTCAACGATGATCGCTAACATATTTGCCATGAGATCGTACAATGAGGTAGGATAACGATTAACAATCTCGAAAACGTTGGATATAGTTTTAATGACATTAAGATAAGAGATACATATTTTTCTATTGAATTTCCAGATTGATGATACTGTTTCAGCAAAGGTTAGTTGATATATTGTTGTCTGGCATTATACCTACATTCATATACTTGCATGATAAATTTAACAGTCTAGTAATCACTAAAAATGTCATTCCTTTAAACACTATTCCCCCGCCAAAATTTCTTTTAAGAAGTCAGTAATCTTTACTCTCAAGATGTGAAGTCTTGTACCAAGTGTCCAAGCTGTAGAGAAAAGATGACGTCAGTGTATAATGTATAGTTCAAGACTTTTGGTCGAAGTGGTACAAAACTTTAGATCCAGAGATGCTCAATATCTATTCAGTTTAACCAATAAAGATTATTCTACACACTAGTAACACCTGAATAGGATTATCCATTGTCTTGAAAAAAATTATTTCTGCATGTTTCCGATATGCTCGAGAATTATTTATTTGGCTAAAACACATTTTCTAAAACAATCTTCAGTTTTCTACAAACTCACATTAGTTTTAATCTTTACTAACATCATTTGAGCATCGTTTGAATAAACACATTTTCTGGATGTTTTATCTTTCTGATGCAAAATGGTGCTTTCTATCAAAATTGAGTTTTATGTACGTTAATATTATTTAGGAATTACTAAGAGATTTTCGAAAGTAGAGAGATTGATAGAGTTTTGCATTGGGTACATTCCCATCTATTTGGCTTTCAAAGATGGTGTTTTCTTCAGGCTGTAGCGGAAAAATAAAGAAAACAATACGTTACAAGAGGTTTTGGGTGACGCATGGTATTTAAACTTTTTCTCATTCAAACTCAACTACAAAAAGTTTGTTTTTCGACGTTTTTTGAAATTCAGATGTTTCTCTTTCCATCGGGAAAATAAATAACTCACCAGCATATCGGGAACATGTAGAAATAATGCTCGATATTTTTTTAAAGACTTTTCGATCGTAGAATATTTAATAAGAGATATTTCGAAAGGCTATATTTTTAAGGCTTTTAGAAAACTTTTTAGAAACCTTTTGTATTTGTTGATAGTATTTTCGACATTATTGGTTAGCCGATTGCATGCTTGTCATAATATCAATTTTTAACAGAAATTTTGCTATTCTGACAAGAGAAACTCTGAATTGCGTACTGGATGTTAAATGAATGTTTAAATATAGTTGTCCCAACTAACGCCTAATGTAAAATAGATCTTCGGTATGTGATGATCCTGTATTTAAAATAGACTTCGTTTTATAATAGCAAACCGCTGTAGAGCGCCCCGAATGGCTACAGCAATATCTTCGTGGTGCTTCACTTGAAATGTATACAGAAACATTATCCGATTATTTCGTTCAAGATTTAAGAAATTTTAGTGAAGCTGCAAAGTAAATAGCTGTTTATTTGTGATCATTAATACAATGATAACAATTGACATATATATGTTTATATAGATTTTGTTTTGTCGAATTGAATATTTTATTATTTGCCATTGAAGTATGTGAAGAAAATGGTACTCGACGTTTGGCTATTAATCCTGATAGTACATCAAAATATTATCGAATTGCTAAGAGAACACGTGGTTTTTTTCTTGCTGGTAGTTCAGAAGAAGCTTCTCGGTGAGTTGATAAACATATTTTTTAAAAAACAGGAATTTTATCGCTTATTTGTATGTTACAGAGCCCGCTATTATTGTCAATTTTGTCATTGTAATAAACCTCCAGAAAGTGTTCGAAAATGTTTACACTATCGAACAGAATGTAAGTTGAATATATATTCTCGAATATGTGGACAGAAAAACTAACAATTATCGATTTTAGTAACAAGTTTTGCTGCATTAAAGCCCAGTACGTATTTTTATTTATTAAGTAACTATTTTCTTTGTCTATAAATATCATGTCTTTTTTATGTTACACAGGACGTGAAATATCAACACAACGTTCTGAAAGTTTTGCAGGGTATCTGGTTTGAAGAATTCTACTATTATCTGAGTTTGATTACAATTATTTATTGTTTTTAGTCTTCCATTATCAAATTTATCTCTCGAATTTTGTTTTGATACAACAGGAATGTTCTATTGGTGTCCAACACAAGAAATTGAACAACAGACAATAGTAAATATCGTTCATCTCATATGATCTATTGAAAAATTAAAATGTAATTTAATATTTAGAATATTCGAATGAAATGTGAATTATCGAATCATGTTATTTGTTGTATATTTGCTGAGGAAAATTCACCAGTAATTGGTTTAAGAAATTTTGTTATGCCACTACGTGCAAGTAATTTTGAAGAACATGAATTAAAACCCATAGTTTTTGTTGGTAGTAGTGTATTTTTAAAAAAAGAATGGAGGCATATTTGTAATTTTCCAAAACTTTACATTGTGGAGGTAAGAGATACTTCTAAAAATATTATCAAGAAACACTCTTTATCCTTAATTTTAGGGTTCACCAAATGATCGAGCCACGCTGAGAGCAGTTAATATCCAATTATGTGATATGTGTGTTATACTTTCGTCCCCTCAGCCACAACGGGATTATGATATGAAATCAACGCATGATAGATATTTAACAGATAAATCGGCCATTCTATGTTCGTTAAATATAAAAGCAATGAGTTTTGAAGAAAATTTGTCTCTAAAGAAAATAAAAGAGCCAAATATGAACGGAAAAGTACGTGGTACGAGTGTACCATTAATCACCGAACTAAGTAAGCTCTATGTGTATTTGTGTTCAGTGTTCATACAAAATTAGTTTACTCAATTGCTTAGTATACACCTTTGTCCATTTATTTTAGAAAACGATTCAAACGTGGTTTTTCTTGATCAAGACGATGAAGACGATCCAAATATTGAACTGTATATGACTCAACCATTTGCTTGCGGCACATCATTTGCCATTAGCGTTTTAGATTCACTAATGAGTGCGGTATGATGCGTATAATTTGAAGCATTTATCCATTAATAAAAATACTTATTTCAATTGACTTTCTTTTTAGACTTATTTTAATGAAAATGCGTTGACTATTTTACGAGGTAAACAAAGAAGCAATATTATTTTATTCTACAAATAAATAAAGCTCATTTTTAGCACTAATTACGGGAGGAGCCACACCGGAGCTAGAAAGAATATTGGCTGAAGGTGCTGGAATGACGCAGGGAACAAATTCAAAAGAAGTTCTTAATAATAGACGTCGCCCAAGAGTTGTTCTTGTATCAGCATCTGATATCGTACAACAAGAAAAACGAAAAACTTCAAATGCGACAATTTTTAGCAATACATTTTGGACAGAAGTAAGGCTTGTTTAGAAATGGATAAAATTATTACATTGAATTTCATGGCATATTCTCATTTATAGAACCCAACATATGGTGAATTATTTGTAAATGTGTTACTACAAAAAGATTGGTTATGTCTTGGTTTATATCGATATCGTGACGATATTACATCGGTTTCAGAGAGCAATTATACTCTATCGCCAAAACGCTATGTCATATGTAGTCCAGCGAAGAACTTTCCATTGTTACAATCTGATCTGGTAAAAACATTTAGGCTCTACCTGCGAATCTAGCGGAGAAAGATAGTTACACATATCGATGTCAAAATCTTCATTTTCTATAATTTCATGAAAGAAGCTCGGTGACGTAAAACACTTTACCTTTATGAATGAAAATGTTTTACTTGTGAAGTAAAAGATGTCTGAAAACTTATATCAGTTCAGAAGATCTACTTTTTAAGATGCAAAAGAGAATCTCTAGAGAAAACAATGGTTTATTGAAAAACCTAATACTTTTATGTAGATTGATCAGTATTAGAACGCTGTTTTTTGCCGTCGATGCAGCAAAATACACATAGTAAACTTAAGGTAATGACTCCCTCAAGGAAAAAAATTTATAATTTTATTTTGATTTGTTACAGGTTTCATTAATATAATCAGTATCGAGAGTACTCGCATGGACAGTTCTGTCAGACAGAATTGTCAATGAAAAAATAAGACAGATTTCGATTCATCTGTAAATAACACGAATCGAAAAATCTTTGCATATGTCTAATGCCCCCTTATTCTCAGATGACTTTTTGTTTTTAGTTTAAAAAAATATGTCGATTGATTCTTGTAGTCGTTTACGGAGATTCCAGAATTTTTTGCACCATGTAGATTGGTGGGTGCATCATTAGTAAATAATCTGCCTCTGTTGTGTGGTCATATTTTCGATATATAATCATTAGTAAATAGATATAAAGCAACAGTGACAGAAGCGATCGTTTAGATATACGACGTTCAAGTCTGATTTTATGAAAGAAATGAAGATACGTAGGATCAAATGCTGCTTGAATATCGAAAATATTGTTTCAGTATCTCTGCTTTATACTAAATTTTTCTGTACAAAGTATGTTATATTCAATAAGTTGTTTATTGCTGATCGATTCCGAACTAAAACCGTATTGTTGATTTGATAACCGTCCATTTTGTTCGTCTAATATTGATAAATCATTCTTGACAATACATTCTTATAGCTTAGCAAGTAGAATACTTCATTTTTTTAATCCTCTCTCATCTACTATACGTTCCGTCGTTCAATAATTTTTTCAAAATACTTCCATTTCAATCAATATTTGTTATTAAATCTGGAGTTTTCTCTGGAATTGTGAAGGTGTGACACAAAAAACAGTATACCAGAGTTATTTTCTCTAGCACACCTTGACAATTTGCTCATTGCGTAGCTGCTTTCTTTTACATACATTTTGCTTCTGTTTAGGTCTATATGATACAACAGTTTTTGCCCAAGTGTGACACGGATTCATCACCTTTCGTCTCAACAATATCTCGTAGTGAAAGTGTAGATTCATCACATCCTAAAGCAAGTTTCGCTTCAGGATTACAACATATAATTCAAACTCCAATGAATGTATCAACCAATAGCAATATACCATCCGATTCCAAATCATCTCCTATAACCCAAGACATTTTTAAGTTGAATTCGGAAGCACAAGAACAACTAACATCATCTGTTGATAAAGTTAATCTTGTTATTCATGTACGACAAGCAACAGCGAACGATGCGACTGAACTATCATCAATTGCCGAAACAATATTTCGTGAAATATACTCTACTAGTGTTACTCAAGAAAACATGACGATTCATTTAGCTAAAAATTTTAGTCCTACAATTCAATTAGCTGAAATATTAAATCCAATGATACGAACATTAATTGCGTATGTCGATGGAATAACTGAGTCAATTATTGGTTTTATACAAATTCAAAATAGTTCACCGCCATCATGTGTCAAAGAACTACTTTCTTCAGGCTCAATTCCTCTAGAAATCATGCGTTTTAATGTTATTTCAAATTATCGTGGTAAAGGCGTTGCTCAATATCTTATGCATAAATGTTTAACACAAGTTGAATTTACCTCTCAAGCACTTTGGTTTAGTATCTCTACCAATGACAGTAATAGGCGTGCTCTTAAATTTTTTAAAAAATATGATTTTAGAATTGTAGGTAATTGTCAAATAAGAATAGGTCGTGAAACAAAAGAAGAACTAATTATGTTTCGAACAAATTAATTAATTTGTTAATTATTTTTGTTGTTATTGCTTTTTTTCTTATATTCTAATAATTATAATAATAAAAGATGTATCAAAAATAACACCTGGTGTCATAAGAAATAGTAACACATGTTGATAAGTGTGTTCAATATAAATCTGTTGTATTAATAGGACCAATCAGTTTTTAGTTTTCATTATTATAACGTATTTTTCTCCTTTCAATCTGTGAAATATATAAGAAAGAAATTATCGGAAAAATAAGAAAGTATTTAATGAGTCGTTACGGCTCTAGAATGATTGAATTAATGACCAGGAACATGTGAGAAGATTATGTATTAGTACATATATTGATTACTATTAGAAGTCTAATTCATATACGATTATTAAACATCAGATAAAAAAAAAAAGATGTATAGTACTAACATGAAGATTATTGATACTTTTTCGAAAGAAGACAGTTTAGTATAATAAAACATACTGTTATCTAATTAATGATGCTTACATATTCGAACTACAAATTCTCAAATATAGAATTTTAATAAATTTTTCATAAGAATTATATCTCATTTTACTTATAAAACTTTTGGATAGAAAACGAACATATAATCTATTGATTAAAGATAACTCAATGATGATTATCACTTAAAATCCCAAATAAAATAGTGTTTAATTAGTAATATGTACCATCTCATGCAACCAAATATTTTCTCTCATTGTGTACCTATCATTTCAAGTAAAAATTTTGTTATTTTTTGAATAACTTATACGCGATTTAACACTTACAGAGTCGTCTCTATCGATATATATTGTTTTTATATTCACGTTTAAATAACGATAATACGAAGTGTCATTGTGAAACTGTCAAGTCTCACACAATAACACAAACAATTTTAATACTCCCACATAGAAAATTAAATTAGGATTTTTTTTTTAGCACAAAAATACTTTCGAAGAATGAAAGAGTATATTAAAGATGTTGTGCTGCACAATATATGACCTTGTTCAAAAACGATTATCTTTTAAAAAAATAATTTTATGTAATGATTGTTCTTTTCTTTTCTTTTCTAATGAGTGATCGTGATGATGGATAACAGAGCATTTCGTTTTTACAGCCGATTTCCGTTTTTTGGCGCTCTTCAACCGACAGTCACGCACTTTACATGCCTGATAGAAACAAAAAAACGTTGAACAACTCATTTCCGTGTAAAGCAGGTGATGGTTGGTTGTTGAAAAATTGAGATGGTGCCGAAACGCAATTACTTGATGAGTTTTTATCGGCGATAATAATACTGTCGTAATCAGCGATTTATTTCAGTAAATCTAAAATATTCTATGTACGTGCGGTACATATCGTTTTATTGATATCGTCACAATAAAAGTATAAATTACTAATAATCTGTCTGATAACAACAACGAAAATAGTTTGAACAGTTTTAACATAACAATGGAGTAGACGATACAAAGCATCAATCGTCGTCTATTCAACTATACGGCGGTGTTCTCTTTGAAAACACGATTTTCACAGTGACAGTTTTAAAAAGAATAGATGATCTCTTTTTTTTTTTTAATCAACAAATCATTATTGTTCATTTTTCTCTATTCTCTCGTTCTGCTCTGCATGCGTTTGTGAAAAGGTGGTTTCTAACTTAAAGTTGAATTCTTTCTCTTTTTTTTCTTGTTACTGTGCACGCGGCATACTACTGTGTGAACAATGATGCGAAACGTCGTGATAGAAAAGAATCTGGTTCGGTTCGATGTAATTTGATGGCCAATAAGGCAGAAAGTGAAGTCATCCACCACTACCATCAACAACAACAATATTTCACTTTAAAAACGATGATATATGTTTGTTCTTTTGTTATAATGAAAAGAAAACTATTAAACATAAAAAGAAAACGGTAAAAAAGAAGAAAAAATCAAGACTTTTTTCACACACACACACACACACACGTCTTGGTACTGGCACATATGTCGCAGTTGAAGTTAAAAGAGTTCTAGTAATATGCCGAAAATATGTTTGATAGATAATAAAACTCTATAAACTTCTCTCGCCATCCATTTGTTGCAAACCCATAACTGACAGTATGGATATTATATTTGACCGAGTATAACTTGACTTCCAAAAACCATTTAAATCTCAAATTGACTTTCTAGTAACGTAAGATCAATTTACTTCTCTCTTGACTGCACAAAGAACAGAAACTTTCTTTTGACGAATTTTATTGCGGAATCGACTAGAGTACTAGAATACACACCCAAGCAAAAACCACCCAATTTTTTCGGTTATTTATCTACATTCAGGTCCACGTGCATATGCACGTGGACCTGAATCTAGATAAATAACCCAAAAAATTGGGTCGTTTTTGCTTGGGCAGATGCAAATGTAAAACAGAATATGGTTTTTTTCCATCAATACTATGCAGACTTGTATTGATTATATAAGTAAATTCTCCGTGACATTAGAAACGGAGAGTGTTATTATTGCATATGCAGACAGAAGTTCAAGTTTCAATATCAGACATAGTATTCTATGTTTTTTTATATATAGCAAATGAGCATTGGCGAGCCACCATCGGCGCAATTAGAGACAATTGCCCCTCCTGGAAAAAAATATCAAGAACAATAAGCAGTAATTGCCATGTGAAGAATTATATTACGCAGCCGTGTATTTTTTAAAAATTTGAAATAAAAAAACAATCCTTTAAAAAGTCTGTTGATCTCCTAGAAAAAGTTTTCCGACTAGCCCATGTAAATGAGTAAAAATCACAATTGACCGCAAAGTTTAGAAGTAAAAAGAAGCGAATATTAATTATATTAATCATTCTATGTATAGATAGAAAAATTCTATGAACACTTAATATAAAATATCAAAATTAGTAAGTTATGGTCGATTACAGTACACAACTGTCTTCTCTTTTCTAGCGCTCACATCTTAGTATTATATATGGTGACAATTGCTTCTTCTATCATGATATTTTCGACATTCGTCACTTATTCATCAACTATGTTGTTATGGTCTTCATTCAGAACTTTGGTTTAAGACTAAAACAGGTGGCAGAGGATAACATCTGAGATGCTCAGGTAAACATTCTTGTTCGATTTTGTAGAGACATTGACTTTCTCAGCGTAGTTTATACTTCAGTAGTTCGCTTCTCCTTTTTTATGATAATAGAAATATTTTTTATGGGATTTTTTTCAAAAACTAACTTGTTGTTTACTTAAAGTTGCTAAATAAAGTCACAATTGATCATTCAGTGTAATAGCGTCAATTTGATCTATGAAGCATGATTAATTTTGACTCAGAATGTATTCAACCTTAACTGATGATGTTGTGTTATATATGTATAATTTATAAAATGAACGAACAGAAAGATATTCTTTTTTCTATAGTATGTAACAAACCAATAAAATTTGTATGCGATAAAATAAAATGAACCAATGCTGTAAGAATGAAGAAAACTATTTTTTTTCCTTTCATAATTAGCGATACACATCATTCATAAAGAAACGTGAATCGGTAAGTTTTTTACTCAGTCGGATATCTTTAAAACTGACAGTTTTTGCAAGTGTTTCAAAGTTAAATCAGACTGATACTTGAGATGAAAAGCAAAATGTATGTACCTGGCATTGGTGAGTATTACATCATTTTTATTTGAATAGAACATAAATTGTGTTTATATCTATTTAATATAGGACAAGCAGGAGTTAATCAGTTGGGTGGAGTTTTTGTAAATGGTCGTCCTCTACCCGATCATATTCGTCGCCAAATTGTAGAATTGGCTCTTATGGGCATAAGACCATGTGATATTAGTCGCCAATTACTTGTTTCACATGGATGTGTATCGAAAATTCTTACGAGATTCTATGAAACTGGTTCCATAAAACCAGGCTCAGTAAATGGACGAAATAAAGTAAGTTTCCCGCTTTATCTTTAATATCGTCTATTGTTCCGGAAGTTCAAGTCTTGTAGTATCTGAGATATAAACTAATTTTTCGTTATCAAACGTATTATGATTTTAGAGTCTCATTAGACTGAAAATACTGTTTATACTAATGACAGTCAAAACTTTTGTATTTTGTAAGAGTGTTCCCCACGTATTTGTCATGAATGAACTACAACCATTTTCGGATTCAATTATATTAGAGTTGACTCAAATCATGCAACTAATAATAGAGGTTTCTAGATATCATTTAGAAAAAGAGGAAAAAGTCTAAGTTTCAGTCTAAGTCAGGTAATATGCGTTTTTTCTTGTGCTAGTTCTTACCATCACCAGTGCGAAAGTCTCATCCAAACACTTCAATCGATTCTGATGACGAAAAGTCATCAGTAAACAGGTATGCTTATAAGACACTTGGGACGCGTACACTCTCAATTTTCACTTATTGTTTGTTTCTTTTCTACAGACGGTCAGAATCACCATGTACCGTCAAACGAACATCCGTAATTACTGCTACAACGTTTCATTCTCTTACATCAACACCTATTTCAAAATCAAAAATGTTGAATATTTACCCTAACAGTCATTTACCGCAATATTTTTCATTCAATAACAAGGGACAAAACTCACCATTATCGGCTAATTCATATCGTTCTATTCTCTATCCATTTGTAATTCAACCAACAAAAAATACATCTCACCAAAGTAATGATGATGATAGCAGTAGTAGCAAAGATGAACAAGTACCCAATTTAGAACTAACATCAAGTGATTATAATACATCCGATTCGATTCAAGCAACAACAAGCGGCGATCTGTTAACACAAAACAAGCATACTTTGTTACCTTTGAATACGAACAAGAGACCGATACTTAAACATTCTATTGATAGCATACTCTCATCAGAAACAACAGTGAATCGAAAAAGACGTTTAATCGAATGTAAGTGAAATGAGAGGAAAAAAGTATTTTTTTTACACATCTGAAAATTAGTGAATATTGGATTTTCTGTTGCAAAATGACTTTCTCCACCTAATTTGAGTTGAGTAAAAGTTGAATTTTGTGACAACTTATTTATCTATGTATATCTGATAATAGAAAGTTTCGGAACATCTAGAACAGAGTTTTCCCCCTTAAGCCTTCTTCACTGATCTCCTAAGACTAACTCTCAGCAAATGACCTTCCTCCCAATAAGTCTTTCATATTACTTCTAACTAGGTTGAGAGGAAAGTCAAACACGGTCTAGTCGCAACAGAAGAAGCTCTGCAGAAACGATTAATTTGCAACTTTTTAATATCTGAAGTACCGTCCAGCATTACTAAATTCGACTCATGTCGTACATAGTTGCCTTTCTTTAATGCTAAAAGAATAGATTCATTGGGTCTGTGCTTATCAACCATTTTGAAAGGCATCAATGAGAAAATCAAAATCATTTCAGCCTTTCTGATTTTAAACAGACAGACGTTGTTAACATAAAGATAAGCATCAACTCGATTTTCTTTAGTTAAACGAGCTTCTGCGCTGCAATTGGTTTGAGAGTTTATCTTATCAACGTATCATATCGTGTTCAAACTTTGATAAACGTCGACTCTTTCAGAGGAGCTTTTGTAAGAGTGCTTAGAAAAATCTTGTAAGTAAGAGATTCAGTAAATAGAAAAAAAATATTTTTGATTCAAAGTTCGACAACACACATGTGTTTAAACTCACGACGAATTCATGAATTCTCTTAAATTCTTTAAACTACGCTTATGTTTTAGAGAACAGTCGAAGTGATGTGTTTTTCATCTTTACTACTAAATATTGAACTGATCCCACTGACTCTGTCTGAGTTGTAAAATCAGAATCATATATCACACGACATTAATCAATCTTCGGCAAAAGGGAAGATGCGTATAATTGTAAATGTACAGAAGATGGAAAACTGCGTCATTCAATTTTTGGAAAAAAATTTCTATGCATAGTAGCCTATAGTTTGATGATCTTACGAAGTTTAATAAGCTCGCATTAACATCCAAGCAAAACCGTATCGAATCTTAAATTTTCTTGGTTATTTGATTTTGATAGGATCTATCTAAGATCTCAGACAAATGTAAGCACAATCTTAAACGAATTTTAGTAAGTTTTTGACTTCGACTATGTGTACAAGCGCTACGATTTTTCAGTCTAGTGAGATTAGAGACATCGCTCACTTTCGGTATCTTATTTTTCTTTTGTTTGTTTTTTAGTACAAAATGACATACCAAAAAAGCGGAAAAATGTTGGAATGTTTAGTAGTAATTATCAATGACACTGTTTGCTTGTGGACTGGTATGCTGAAACTGTCGTTCGACTAAATCCATCAAATGCACAACAAAGAGGTTTCAGTTCAAATACGTTTTATTTTTTTTCATTTTCAAATTGAAACAGTAAATAAACAACATAGAATCGAACATTTTTTTCTATCCGAAACGAGATTAGTTAACTTGAACATCGTTCCATGTATAAATAATTTAAGATACATTGGTTTCCATATTTCTAGACATCTTTTGCATTGGATGACCACGATGTAGTGTCTAAATTTAATTAGTGTTAACAGAGTGCATATTTTTCTTTATATAAAAATGCTTATTAATAAAAACATTGTTGAAACTGTTCGAGTTCATGCCTCTCTCACTTTTCTTCCCCACCTATTGATATGATCATCATTATTATTGATATGAATTGAACGACATCACGGAAGTGGCCAATTTATTGTTTAAGTGTGAGTAGAATAACTGCACACCTGATGAGATTGTTCTGATCATAATCAGTACGAGAATAAAATTATTATTACGTGATTACAAATGTTAAACATTGATCGTTTTAAAAAAGAATTTTCTCTTCTGCAAGATAGTGACGAGTTAACATTGCCAGATTGATCAATTAAATAAAGACCTCCCATCATTCAATATATCAAAATGTATGTGTAGACTGTTGATTTATTTTATATTCATGTACACGCAACAATTCTTATCAAATCATCTGAGAAAAATTAGTTCAGACACTAAATTTTAATTTTTTGTAGAATTGAATTGACAACCTGTGTTAAATGTTTACCATACGTATGTGTATGTGACACAGTGGATACAGGGCTGGCGCGAAGCTTCTAAGATTGGGGAGGGGAAGATGGACCGATAAGTTTTTTGTTGTGAATGAAAGTGTGTTTTGTGTGATAGCGTAGTAAATTGTGAATTTTTGTGAAAAAAGAACAGATTTCGATTGCCGAAGAGTGTAGTTTTAACTGAGATTCAACACTGAAGAAAAAGGAGCTCATTTTATTGACAGGATTCATCAGTAGAAAATAATTTATTCAAATCTAACTGTAATAATACCAGATATTATAGAGTAGACAATACTGCATTAAACGGTGTCTTCAATTTTGGTTGAAAATGTATGTAGAACATTTGCCTCGATAATGTACCGTTTATACTCACTTTGGAGTTCTGATATCTCAGCCATTAAGCGAAAGTTTGGATCAAAACGTTTTATCTCCAGAGACAACAGTAGTGAAGTATCTGGTCAATTAATTTTAGGATTATATTTCACTTTATTACGAAAATAACGTGCGAAATAATAAAACTTATATACATCTATGAATTGGAGGAGAATGCTCAGATTATATTCTTTAGTGAAAAATGTTCGATTCAGTTCAAAAGTAACTCGCATATAAAAAAAGTTTATCTAAAACTTTGTTTTTTTTTTGTGAGATACCAGAAATTCAAAATTCGAGTAAGATTTGTTTTTCGTTTATTTATACATGGTTGAATAAAGCGCATGGAGCTGAGTAAGAAAAAGTGGTTTTTAATTTTTGAGAAAATCTTTTTAAAGAAGAAAAATTGAAAAAATTCCTAGGGGCTAAAATCTCAAAAAATTCTTCAGTTTCAAAAAAATTCACATTCTTTTCTCTTTCGTTCTTCTATCAGACGAGCGAGAAAAACTGCACAAAATACGCTCGTTTTACCAAATTAAAACTAAAGTCTGCTATGTGGAAAAGTGGAAAAAATCCAACTGTATGATCAATTTTGTTGAACAGAGAAAGTCGTCCATTTCACTCTTCCTGACCTAGCACAATGACTTCACGACATTGAGCACTTTCTATTTTAAGCAAATAAACTACAATAAATTTGCAACATTTTAGAGAAACTCCGAACTTTACAGGTGATTTCGTTTCGGAGAAATATCAAGTATAAGTTAATATGAGGGTGTATGATCAATTTTTTTGTTGACCACTATATATTCTATTGGAGAGGGAGGTGAATGTCTCCTTTCATATCGAAACAACGACGAAAATATTATAGTTAGATATAAAACAGTAAATAATTGATAAAGCACTTAAAAAGTTATTTATTCAGCGTGCTTGTTTGCTTTAAAAAAAAGCTGCAAGGCTGCAATGAAGTATGTTGAAAATAAATTACGGGACATTTAAATATTGATATAAAAATCAGCTTAGAAAAAAGGCAAAACAAACTTCTTGATATATTTGTTATGTCACGCGCTAGAGTCGTGCCATAAGGGAGAAGATTGTAGTTAAGGTTATTACGCAAGAATGTATTAGCGGTTATGGTGCAAGACTATGGTCAAGATTATTGAGCAATATTTCGTGTATAAATAGATCGGGTTCTATTGTTAAAGGAGAGAGGCTTTTGTTTGTAAATAAACGGTGGTCATAATCATCAAAAAAGACGAACCTTAACAATATTTTAAATTTTTTATTGTATAATGATAAAGAAAACGTTATGAATAATATTAATTTTATTTATAATAATTAATTCTTATAGAAGTAACGCACAAAATAATGATATATCTCACTATTTCTACCAAAATTGAAGAGGATTAGTATCTTCAATTTAATGTTCTTAACCCTCTGAGTACGGGGTCAAGAAATAAACCCGCAAAAGTAGCCACATCCCTACACATCAAGAACCATGATAGCCAGGAACTTCTAATTTTGTGTGGTCATACCTCTTACCGAATGCTGGTCACCCACAAAAAAGTCTGGGCCTCTTTTACTGGATGGTTTGTGAGATATAAGCGATTTATTTCTTTTCCGTAAAATATCAGTAGCTCCTGATCTGAGAGAGTGGACAACTTTTTCTTTTTACAAAAAAGTAGTCACGGCTCTACTCTGTCAGTGTTATAAATTTCGTAAATGAGCTGTTAGTAGTCAGGTAAATACAGCTCTTTTACTGACGGGGCTCGCGTTTTTCTGTTGAAAAGTCCAGATCCTCTTGCGAAAAAAATTCACAATTTCCATCTAGGAGCATCATTTTGACTTCAAATTCGCATCATAGTAGTGTCTGTGGACTATCTAGCCGAAGTATGAAGGTTAACTATTGTGTGGTTCCGAAAATTCGTTGAGATCCAGCGCCCTCGATTGAAACATACGTAGAAGAGCGAGGGCCCCATATTAGAGATGTGCAACCCAATCCTTACCCGACCCGGTACGAAGTTGCCGGGTACGGATTCTATTTTTTTTAATTTAACCGAAAACTGGAAAGTTCTAGTGAAAAACGCACAAAAAAATACAGGAGTTTAACTAAAATACATGAACGTTTAAAAAGAATTACTTGACAAAGGAATGATAATTTGATATCTTCACTCGAAGAACAAAAATTTTTAGCTGGAAAACAAAAACGAGAAAATTTTTAGGCATAAGTTGGGTATGGGTCGGGTACAGGTCGGGTACAAAGTTCTTGGGTCGGATCGGGTACGGGTACGGATCGGATACTGATGGAAAAAAAATTTTCAGGTCAGATACGGGTACGAAAATGGTACCCGTACACATACCTACCCCATATATTTTCAAGCAAAACTAATAACATATTTGAGATCAGCAAATAAAACTGGGTCATTCATTTCATTGAATAATCAATACGTAATATTTACGAAACTATTCAGAGGGCAAAATTTCAGAACGCGAATTCGCGTCGTCCGTACTCAAAGGATTAATTTCAAGAAAAATTGAAAATAGCATAAAGATGTCCAAATTTTAAGTTTTGTGAGATAAATAAGAATAAAATCCAATGAATAGGAGCTGCAGCCTTGAAATCTAATGGATTAAATCAGAGATTACTATTCAAATATACCTCCAACCTTCACGAAACAAGCTAATTCGAAATAAAATTTTGAAAACATTAATAACTCCAGTTTTTCTTTTGAAATTTAATCAATAAATAGTTTTAGATAAATAAATGAATTCATTAATTTTTTTATTTTATAAAATAACAGATATTGTCAAAATCTAATTAATTTTGGCCTTCGTTAATTCAAAATTCTCGATATTCGTAGTCCGAAAGGCGAGTCCGAGTGTGAACTGGAAAATTTTTTGATGGACTCGGACTCGAACTGGAGTTTTTGTATTTCGAGTCCGATCTAATCAACTTTTAACACAAATAAACAGAGAAAAGTGAAAAGCGAAATAACAACGCCTTCTGTTTCACATGAAATTGAAAATTTTGTTTCGAAGACGAATATGCAAAGTAACCTTATTTTCGAAAATCAAATAGCCATCCAAGGCTGAATGAATTAAAAAAGAGAAATAAACCACACTCATCAAAAAAGAATCTAAAAGACTACCGGACTCGAAATAGACTCGGTTCTTAATGTTAAGAATTCGGACTCGTCTTTTTTTTTTTTAAGGACCCGGACTCGCACATGCCTGATTCGTAGTAATAAATTGTTGCTGTAGAAGCGAAAACAAAAATTATAAATTAACTGTAAATTAATTATTCTTAATATAGTCTCCGATATTTTTTAAATCCGATTTTAATTTGATTAAAATTCAAATAAATCATAAATATATTAATAATATAAAAATATAATATATTTTTTATGATAAATATTCAAAGTAGACATTGAATCGTACTTTTTTTATTCTATCCGATCACTTTAAGCTTTATACTTTCACCAAAAACGAAAATCAACAAAAGATTTTGAGATATATATCATTCGATTCAATTTTTGACGCCGACTCCGAATAGGATATTCCTGCAAGACGCGAACACCCGCAAATTAAAATCTGAGTTGGCCAATCGATAGAGCTCGTCGAACTGAATATAGCGATCCCTAACAAACACCCAAAAATTTTTTTATAGTTTCGCTTTTTAAGCATACATTTTGATTGAACACCCACGAACACAAAGAAGAAAGGGTAAGAACACCCAAAAAAGTGCGCCAAACTCATCTTCAGGTTATTCTGGGCTGAGGGGGTGAGGGTGAGGTACTGGTAGGCTCACCCACCCCTCACCCTCAGCCCAGAATAACCTGGAGATGAATTTGGTACACTTTCCTGGGTGTTCTTACCCTTTTTCTTTGTGTTCGTTGGGTGTTCGTTAGGGATTGCTATACTCAGCTCGACGAGCTCTATCGATTGGCCAACTCAGATTTTAATTTCGGGGTGTTCGTGGGTGTTTGCGTCTTTTAGCAATACCCAGAAAATTGAGAATTACGGACGAATTCCGAGTTTTCACCCCTAATTTAGAAAAAAACGAATTTTCTCAGTGACAAAGTAAATTGGAAAAAAAGCGATGGGTGCTTCTAAAACTCGTTTAATGGCGGTTCTAATAAAGTAAAAGATCGGCTCTATCACTTTACAAAACAACTTAGATAGATTTGCAGCATTGCTGATGAACTTTTCATAGGGAGGAGTCTAAGATCTCGATACTGGATGGACCTTTGAATTCGACCTCGATCAAGCATCCTTCTCATACTCAGTTTTTAATGTTGAATCTGAAAAAAATACTTTTGAAAGTTAGAAGAACGAAAAAGAAAAGAATGTGAATTTTTTTGAAACTGAAGAATTTTTTGAGATTTTAGCCCCTAGGAATTTTTTCAATTTTTCTTCTTTAAAAAGATTTTTTCAAAAATTAAAAACCACTTTTTCTTACTCAGCTCCATGCGCTTTATCCAACCATGTATAAATAAACAAAAAACAAATTTTAAATTTCTGGCATCTTAAAAAAAATGAACTTTTTCTGACAAAGTTCTTGTCCTCATTAAATATCCCGACGGCAAATTAAAATTAATTTGTTTATAACTTTGTTCGCCGTTATTGAAACGCATTAATATTTTTCTCCTGTAACACGATTCGTACATACACTACATGGTTAAAAAAAGTAAAGACTAGTGGTTGTATCGTTTCGTCATAATTTTCATTGCTTTATAAAAATATCCCAATATCACCTTAATTTCATCGTAAAACTTTGATTTATCATAAAAGTTACTTTTTCTCGTGATGATAAGTAGAAGCTATTCGCAAATCATCCGATTATGCTGTGGCACTAGGGTAGAGAGAATTTGACCAAAATAAGCACCGACAGCAGCGATTTATCAACTGAATTTGCGCTGAATTAAATGATCTTTATAGGTTAAGTAGTTTTAAGTTTTGAAGAGCACACTCAAATCAATATAACAACATTTTCTGGTGGATTTTTGATAATGTTCAATTTTTGTCGAAACGGTTCTCGGAATGTTTGCCACCCCCATGGGCAATGGTAATTCGGATGTTCATGTTTTAATAGTTTCCCTGATAAGTATCGACTGCCCATGTGTACAAAAAAGCATTTTGGATCACGTTCATTTTAAACACCATACATGCAAACACTACATTGTCTATGCAAACGTTCAATATTTCTAGTATAGTACGACTGGAAAAGCGTACCTACAATAGGCGTAGTATCAGAAGAGTAGTGAACAATAAAATATTTTTCTTAAGTTATGATATACTTGACTAGCGCACTAAATTGCGCCCGATGAAGTATAACATAATAGCTTTACAGTAAAAAATTTTACTGTCAAGTCAATTAACAAGGGTTTAGCGCTGGAATTAGCAAAAAGTGGACAATGTTGAGATGATATGGCATATATATTACAGAGGCATTAGTACAGTTCCGAAAGTTTTATACTTTCTATGCTCAGCATTTTGCTGGCAGTATGGCTAATACTCATCTTCCATTTGGATATTAATCAAGTATTTACACTAATTTTACCGTAACAACAATTTTAGATTTGATGTTCTTGATGCCCTAAAGTTGCTTTTTTTCAGAAAAGAATGTATCAGAAATCGATGTTAGACTTCAAATGTATTAACTTTTAAAGAATATATGAATATTTTAGAGACTTATCAGTTCCGACAGATAGATGTTTGCCTCAATTTTCTCTCTGTCTAAATGTTGTAAGGAGTAATATTTCTGTTATTACCATCACGCGTTTCTCTTTTCAAAGCGTCGTTTTTGTGCGGTATCAAGTGATCGCTTCGCACTGCAGTTCCTCATTATAGAAATAATTATCTTGCATTATACCTGACACAGGTTAATATAAGTTAAAAATGTATATTTTGCTGATAAAATCTATTAACAAATCGTTGATTTTTGACTTAGAGCGATTATATATTTTTTTAAAATTTTTATACAAGAAAAAATAGTAATATTCTTTATAGCAAAGAATATATAAAATAAAGAGAAAACAGCCGTTCATTATTTTTTAGAGAGAGCTTAAACAAGCATGTACATTTTGTGTATATGGTAAAGTATTTTGATTGTTTTCAATTTAACGTAAAAGACATAAAAGTAATAAAAATGCTTCATTGTTCCGGCAAACATAAATTTCTTTTCTGCTTTATGTAAATGAAAAAAAAAAGAAGGAAATTAAAAAAAGATATATATATGTGAGTGCAAACATTGACTGCTTGTTTGAATAGAAAAATGAGATTGATCATACAAAAAAGTGTGTGTGTGTGTGTGTGTATTATTGAAAAAGAAAAATGAAGTAAATCGTGCTTCTGTACGATATCCGATGTGTGCGTACTCCACTAAAAAGAGACCTTTCCAAAGTCAAATTCAAAGTAAAACATTCCGAGTACAATAACTTCAATAAATAGTCAAAAATAAAATAATTAAATACATTGAGCGATATATAGTAAATGTAGAATGCATTGTGTATGAAAATACAGAGTAAAAATGTTTTTTATTTGTATATACAATCAATATCACATAATCACCATTTTGAGACGAAAGACAAATCAAATCAAATCACAAAGTGATTTCCACCATCATACTGAAATCAAAATCATAATGATAAAATATGATGATTATTAAAGATAAAAGTATTCAATTAGTTATCTACATTAAACCTATTTCTTTCATAGCTGAATGATGAATACTTTTATGAATATTTGATTATTACTTATAATAGATATTAAGATTTCTCAAGTTTCATTCGAGACGCTACAGAGTTTTTAGAGCATGAACTGGACGCACAAATTCCGGAGTAAAAAGTTCAATTTTGCTTTCGTGTATTTTAAAAAGCAGAGGAACTTTTACTTTCTCACAGACGCTTCTGAGTTTCATTTCCTCTATGATAAAACTAAAGTTTTAAACCCTCTAACATGATAGAATAGGCATCTTTTTTAACATCATACAATTCCATTTACTAAGAAGAAGGTAATAAATTTTCTATTGAAAGATTCTGTTGAACTATCTAACAATCATAATCTACTAGTTATACCTTTTTTTTTTGTTTGATCTAATTAGACAGATATGAGACCGCGTGGATGAGAAAATGAAACATTTGTTGCTACAGCTCGTTCGGGTGACGACATTGTGAATGTTCGTCGAATACCCATTACTTTATCCGCATCGATAAATAATGAATTATTTTTAATAGCCAAATCTTGTTCTAATGTTGATTTTGTACGTAATAAATGTTGAACAGCATTTTCTTCTTGTCGTAATTTTCCATGAAGATCGCTGATGCCTGCATGTAAATCATGTACCTCTTGAATAAGTCTAAAAATAACAATTTATTATATTTTTTCTAATTATTAAATAAACAAATAAATGACAATTATTTTTTAACCTGTGCATAGCGGGATCTCGACACGATTCAACATTTGGTCGTCTTGTGCGAGTTTCTAAACGAGTTTGAGCCACTTGTAAAAATGCTTCTTTATCAGCAATAGTTTTCTTTAAAAATTCAATATTTTGTTCCACATCAAATATTTCTTGTAATACCTAGAAACCATGAATAATTGTAATACATATGTTAAACTATGAATATATATATATATATATATGTGTGTTTTATACTTTTTCTAAATGCGATTGTATTTTATTTTTAGCTGTTTGTTCTTCTTGTACTCGATTTTCAAGTGAAACATTAACAGAATTCCATTGATTCCACATATCATTATTACTTCCAGCCATTAATTTATTTGCCGAATTTAAGAGTTCATCTGATTGCGTCATTTCAGACATTGCACGACGAATATTATCTTCGGTAAATTTTGCCCATGATTCTGGTGTTGAAAAACTATAAATTAAAAGTGATTAAACATCATAGACACTATTGTTTATAGAAAACTTACGTATTATCAACACCTTCAATTCCTTCGTAAAAGTTGATTCCTCTCGACGTTGTAGCAATATGATGTGCTGCAGAATCTAGGACACGAGCACGAAATTTATCAGCAGAATCTTTTTCAAGTTCATGAAGTATTCCACGATTAAGACTAAAAAAAATAAACATTTCAATTTTATTGACTTTCTATTCGATTGCATATTTTTGATAATACATACGCATTTTGGGTATTAAGTCGTTCAAGCATTTGACGAAGTTTTTGTTGGGATAATTTTATTGTATCAATTTCCTATAAATGTTATAGATTGAATTTTAACAGACATTATTAACAAAAGTTATCATGTTTTAAACTTACTCTAATCAATTCACGTTCAACACCATCGTGAACTAGATCAATACCTAGAATATCGAATAAACTCTTAGTTAAAATCTTAAATTAAATTTAGAATTAAATTGTTTACCTTGACGTTTTTCTCTTTCATAAAGATTTTCTTGTGCAATTCTTAACGGATTTTCGGTTTCTAATAATTGTTTTTCCACTTCTCGTCGTTTAAATTCAACATCATCAATTTTTTTCTTCAATTTATCTTTCGTCTTTTCTAATTCATTTTTCCAAAATTCTATGTCATTAATACGTTCACCAAGACGTTTTGAACTTTCAGCATTATTTTTAAATGATTGTTCATCTTTTTCTCGTGCTAATCGAATTGCATCAGATCGTAAACGTTCAGCAGCACTACGCACTTTATCTGATGCTAAATAATTTGTCATTTGTGCATTATACCAATCTTTTGGTGTATATCTTGTATAAAGTGCTTGTCGTGCAGATGGAAAAATGGGTGGTACTGTTGAAAAGAAAAAATATGATAAATAGTGATAGATGAACAAAAAATAATTAAATACAAATACCTTTTATTGAATCAATATTATTCAAATAATTTGAACCACTTAGTGGATCAGCTGTACTTTGAGAAAGAGATACGTTTGGTTCAACACGAGCAGAACGATAAAAGGTTGATGGACGCCATGGTAATGAAAGAGAACGTGTTAATAAACCACTATATGGTGGAGCTGAACCTGTACGATAATCAAAATTGGCAATTGACGGTAACATAGTGCCATGAGGTGGACGACGACCAAAATGAGTATATTGAGCGGTGGCAGTTGATCCCATATAATCCATGGTTCACAAACTTAGACTGATATTATTAGCTAAAATAAAAGCACATTATATGAGATATAAAGCAACTAATGATATTTGCAACAGTGCAATTTATCAATAAATTAGTTCCAGTTATTTTTAGATATTTGTCTATTTGGCTTGGCCAAGTAACTCTGCTATCATAATGTCCTTCCGTAACCTTTTTTCTACATTTTGTTTCTTTTATTGTTTTCGAACAAGAGCAGATCCAAAGCTCTGCAACATCTTAAAGTGAAGAGAAAAGTGTGTTGAAACATTTTGAGATGTTTCCACACTGTACATGATCTTTCGTTCAAAAGCTGCGATTAAAATACAAATACCTACTTTTTCGGATATGTTTTGATGTACAGTGTGGAAACATCTCAAAATGTTTCAACACACTTTTCTCTTCACTTTAAGACGTTGCAGAGCTCTGAATCTGCTTTCGTTCAAAAATTATGAAAAAAACAAAATGTAGAAAAAACGTTACGGAAAAAGGCGTTGTGGTAGTAGAGTTACTTGACCAAACCATGTTACTTATTAAAATAGAGAAAGAAATTAAACAAATTCTATGTATAAGATCTTTACTATTGACCTACTCTACGATACAGACGCAGAAGAGTAAATGTAAAATTTTTGTACAAAACTGATGAGAGAGAGAGTCACGAAGATTAACCGATCATTGAGTACATGAATGATAACTCTACCTTATATTTATTATTATACAGCACTACGTATCCCGAAAACACACTGCACAATGAGTGCTGCTGTCGGCAATAATATTTTGTATATATTATTATGGCATATACTTTTCTTTGTTATTTTCTCTTGTTGTCAATCACCAAATTATGAATAATGAACGACAGTTTTTTCTCTCTCTGTCTCTCTTTTACAATCTTTGCTTTTGGTGAGCATCTCTCACTTTTCATCTTTTCTCAAGAATAAAAAATCTTTTATTTTCAAATCATATGGAAAGCAGTCACAACAATATAGATGCAAATCTTTCATTCTCGCTTCTATGTTGTTGTTGTGCTTGAGAATTTGACTTTGCAGATGATTTGAAAAAAGACGACTTGTTTTTTGCGTCCTTAGCAACATTTTTTAATTTATATCGAAAGATTTCAAAAATTTATTTCATTTAGCTTTTGTTTTCACGTGCTGACAAAGCAGAGAAAAGGGTAGTGTTCACCATTTTGTTTCGTTTTTTAAAAAGAGCACAGAAAGATATCGCTTGTCTCTTCCTTTTCTTTTACATGTGTGTAGAAATGGGAATGTATTTAAAGAAAAGAAAAACGGTGGTAAAAAGCACTAAAGTGCAATCAAGTGTCAAATAGTTCAGGTTTATTTTGTAGAAGAAAAAAAAATCATAAAAGAGTGAAAATTTTAAACAAAAAAAAATGGCTTCTAATATGTTTCAATTTTGATTTCGATTCGTTTCTCTTTTTCTCAATAAAATCTTGGTTACAAATGAGGTGTCGATAATTATTGTTTCTATTTATCACAATATTTGATGTTAGTAGAATGAATTTGGCAATATAAAATGAAAACTAAGTTTATTTAATGAAACTAGGTTATTAAATGAAAAATATAAGCTACATAACTAAATGAAGATTGCACAATCTAAAATGATTCGAAACTGACTGTTAAATTTGACAATATCGATTATATATATTAGAGAAAATAGTCTAGAATAGCCTCTTTCATGATCCAGAGGATCTTCATCCAAACAGACTATCTTTTTTTTCTTCATTCATATTCGAAATAAACATTGCGTATGTAACATTGACTTTGACATTAATATGAAGAATAAAATCAGCAATATATGAGCTATCCGACAACAATACACTTAGCAGAAGCTCTGCTCTCCGACTATAATATGATACTTTTTTCTTGAGAATATTGACAAGCACATGAGACGTAGTACAGAAAAGTTAAGAAAGAAGAGAATGTGTCCAACAGAGAGATGAAAATTACTATGACTAATGTTATCCACTTGAAATTATCAAGTAATCAATTTCTGAAGCTAGCATCAGTTTTTTAAGTAAAGACCATTCGTACTCTCACTCTCATTATTCCATATGAACATGAAAAATAGAAGAAGTAACCAAAGCTTTTCGTTCAATAAAAGTATGCTAATCTCGTGTGTTCCGTTAACAAAACTCATTCTATATATTAACGAACTTTTAGAGTGTAATTTCCACTGCTGTTTATGAGCAATAATATGCAATTTAACGCTTAATTATGCTCAGGGAAAGTTGATATTCTCATATTTACTAAAACAGAACAAGTTTTGCAGCCGTTTTAAATCTTAACGTAGTTAATTTTAAATCACTGAATATTTCAGTTTATTATTTCAACCATTATCAACACAAAAAACTGAAAAAGAGATAAATAGATACAGAAACAATGATACATTTTCTAATACGACAGAAGAGAAAGAGAACGTATCACATACTGTGTAAAAATCCTTCTTCATTTTCAATTTTAATATTGTGAAAGATCTTTTGAGACTGAAGGGATTTTAGCGACGCAATCGAAAATCGTAGAAAATCCTAAAACAACTCCAAAATCAGCTAGCTATAGCAAGGAACGGGTCAGCCTATTAATCCTTCAGATTTCCGCATTCCCCTAACAGAACAACATAAATATCGACTGCTCGTCAAAGAATCTCTTCTTATTCGAGCACATACTCCTGCTCGAAATGGCACTAATAAATCTGTGCTTTTGTATGTTTTTCCAGATGGACTAGGAACGAAGAAACTAGCGCAAGGTGATGAAAGGCTAATACCTTCGACAACAACAGTCAAAGATTAAGAAATTTCAATCTACAAGTTAATATGTTAAGGCTTTTATATCGCAAAAGATCTTTCACGATATAAAAATTGAAAATGAAGAAGGATTTTACACAGTATGTGATACGTTCTCTTTCTCTTCTGTCGTAGCAGAAAATGTATCATTGTTTCTGTATCTATTTTTAAGCGGTTTATTATCTCTTTCTCAGTTTTTGTGTTGATAATGGTTGAAATAATACTGAAATATCCCATGATTTAAAATTAACTACGATAAGATTTAAAACGGCTCCAAAACTTGTTGTATTTTTATTTAAAAAGGCTTTGCCCAACATTACTTTGACTCATATTTACTATCATTCACAAACAACCTTTTCCCATTATTTAACTTATTTAAAGAAAACATTCAATGGAAATTCGTCTTATATTAACATAACTTGTAGTTATTGTCTCGTATGAAACGTCTGATACTACATTTAATGATAATTAGATCTTGCTCGTGACATGAATATGATCTATGTATATGCGAACAGAATAGCGTATTAGTGTTCATAACAAGAAACTATGGCTCTCACAAGGTCAATCAAAACTTCAGTTCATTTCAGTTTTCAATCGTAAAATGACTCTCACGAATTATTTATTTAAACTTTTAGTATGTTTAATACACAAACGAAAGAGAATGATCAAGAATTAACAGATCTATCATGGTTATTGAATGTCAATACCAATTGTGGACAAAAATTGAGTAATAATAACAAACTGAGTTTATCACAATCAGGTCTCTATAAAATAATTATCTATCTTTGCTACTGTATTTATTTGCTCTAATTTTATTATTTATTATATGTACGTAATTCATTATGTATAATGAAAGAGCTATGAACTATAACGTTTATACTTTTAGATTATGAATTCGTTTTTCATCCAAACGATAGTTCAATCATTTGTAACAGTTGTATGAACGATGATAGTTTGCAATGTTTGTGCTGGATGTTAAAAATAAAACCAATAATAATTTCAAGCAAAGTAGGTCAACCAAACATGTGAAGAGAGAGTTTGTGTACAACTACTATCACTAATGTGTAGGTAATACTTTGAATAGATTTTTGTTACAATGCACAACGAAATTTGCGAATCTGAAACTTCTTAGCGTATAGATATTAAATTAATTGACAGAAAAGCTCTTGCTATCATTCTCTCGCGTTCTCTCTGATAGTGTGTCATTTTAGAGAACTGGTCATAAACCATCGTCTATTACATTAAGAACTATAAGTTCGTTACAGAAAGCACCACATTTTCGTCAAATCTACATATTTTATCCAAAACAAAGTTGTCTCCTCCTACCAAAAGAACCAGATAATGAGAGTAATAGTGAACATTCATCGAATGCAAAAACATCTTTACCTCAATCACGGTTACTCTACGTTAAAAGCTGCGATACTTATCCACCTAGTGGTGGTAATAATAATAGCAATAAATGTGTTCTACCAAAAACAACAACAAGAAAAATGCTATCACAGCATCCTAAAATAAAAGCCCATATATCTGTCGATCATTCGAATCATCAAATATGCTCATCTGATAGTATGTGTACAAATGGTAGTGATAATCAAATATTACGAAAAGATGTTTTTCTCAACATAAATCTCGAAAATGAAGGAAAAAAACAATGAAAAAAGTAATTCTCAACAAATATACCATCTAAAAACAGTTGCATAAAAATCGAGAGCTCACCTTTTATTTTATTGTCTGTCAAATGAAGAAGAAAACTCAAATTGTTCAAATAGTTCAAAGAATTATTTCATTTTTAGAGTTTCTATTTATATCCTCTAGTCACACACTCTAGTCTTGATGAGTAGGATGCTTGTCGGATAGTAAATAGTTTTTAAAATAATTACTTTTTTGATGGAGTATAAAAAAGAATAATTAACATACGACACATCTATAGGAAAATAGTAACAAAATGATTCTAGTATGCCTTAGACTAAACAGTGATAGTCGAAAAGAAACCTAAACTTGAAATACTGAACTTTGCTTTAAAATTTGACTGATATTTCTGGTAACTTATCGATATTTTATAGTGTCCCAGAATTATCCATCCATCCCATATTTCTATTTTCATCGCATTTAATTTTTAGAAAAAACTGTTTGAGATACTTTCGACTTTGAAAAAAATAAACATTAAAAATTGGTAATATTTTTAGTAATCAGAAATATCACACCATTTTTAAACTGCTTCATATCTGCTCACAGTGATTTTTAAAGGTGAACTAGATTTTCAGAGATCCGGATTACAGAGAATTTTGATAGAATCTTTATACCAGATTGGAAACTCTTTCAGCTATTTAAATCTTTCTTTAAATTTTTTTTATTAACTATTGTGGTAGTTAAAGAAAAACTATAAATAGATACAGGCCAATATCTTTTTGAGTGCCACTGTACATACCAAAAGATATGAACACTGTCGAGTATTATTTCCCCCATGTACTCGATGCGCTGGAAAGTTAATTATTTTTCCGCTGGAAAGAGAAAAGTCTGAATTTTAAAATAAGAACATAGAAAACAAAACTTTTGTAATCGAGTTTGAATGAGAAAAAGTTTAAATACCAAGCGTCATCTAAGAAGCTCGCGTAACCTCCGCCCTCTTCAAACATATCTCTCTCATCAAACGTATTTTTTCCTTCAACAGAATACATTTGAGATTATGTAATTATAGAAACTAGAAGTGTTTTTATCCTTCTTGTAAAATGGTGTACAATGAATTATCTTTCAATCCATTTTTTAACCAAAAAATGTTAAATTTTTCATTAGTTTTTAGAAACACGGTCAGTTAGACTTAATTAATAATTTCCAGATACTGAACGATCGTCGCGCTTTGGCTAAAACACATTTTTTAAAATAATCTTCAAGTTTCTACAAACTCATATTAGTTTGAATAAACACATTTTCTGGATGTTTTATCTTTTTGATGCAAAGTGGCGCTTTTTACCAAAATTGAGTTTTATGTACATTGTCTTTATTATTAAGGAATTACTGAGAGATTTTCGAGAGTAGAGGGATCGATAGTTTTGCATGATCAACATTCTCATCTATTTGGCATTCAAAGCTTTTCTTTTCAGGCTATAGTAGAATAATAAAGAAAAAAATATACACACATTAAGAATAGAAGTTCTTTTCCGGTCTATTTACAGTATATGATACGAATATAAATCAAATTTTTTAATTAATATCTCGTTTAGGTTAAGTTCACCTTAGAAACCATATACTGTACTGTAAGTAAACACAAAAAGAACTTTTGTTCTTAATGTCAACGATCTCAAAGGACAAACTTCATGATACAATTTTTTTCGTTCAAATTAGGAATATCCATTCTTTTATATCAAAGAAAAGAAAAGATGCTTCAAAGAAAAGATATAATACACCAGTCTTCAAATGTCTAGACATATATGTTGAGTGAAAAGAGATATTTATTTGCTATATGCCTAATGTAGAAAGAAGCTCATATTAAGGGTGTTGATCGCGAGTCCAATGTATGACATTGGTACGAGATTTTTCAAGAAAAAACGTTCTGTAGAAATCGGATCTCTAGAAATAGATTCACAACTTTTCAATAAAGAGATTTTGATACTTTCAGTTGTAGAGTGGATCTAATTACATGTAGAAAAATTTTCAGATTGAACAAATAAGTTTTTATCGAGAGATAAGGCAAATGAGATGAGATGCTGAATGGATGTGGCGATATATTTGAAGAGATCTGGTTCTCATCTGGGCTGTATTGGGAAAGTCTCGTATTAAAAAATATCAGATTCATGATAAGAATAAAAAATAACCCATAGAAAAAGTGTATTTCATAGAAAAAGCAATTGAATCATCTGGGTACATTCTCCCATAAGTTCGCAGTTTCTGTTTTGTTTTTTCGAAGTTTTAATGTAAGATGAAGTGAATCTTCCTCCAATTATTTATATAAGAAATGCAAAATATTTTTTTTTTGCATAATTTATGTGGATAATAAAATTAAAAAACCAATAACAGTAATAGTAATAATAGTCATAAACAAAAAAACACAAGGTACGGACGGAATAGAATAGCTTTTTTTTTAAAGTCGTTAGACTTCTGTTTGTCGATTCTCATTTTTATAATATTTGGTTAAACTTCATAATGTAGAATAAACTTATAAGTAATATTTTCACCGGATTTTATCCTCATTTGTATGTTCTCTCGACACAATTAACTGTATGACTAGCTTTACTAAAAAACGATTAATTTCGTGTATTATATGCGTATGTCGAACATTCAGCTGTTTTTACACCTATAACATATTAATGAGAGACAACCATTATAACTGTATAATTAATATTCAAAATTTTATACTCTGCATTCTTGTTGCAGCTATAGGAATTGATTGCAATTGTGGATACATTCCGCCAGAGATAAGGCAGTATTATAAACTAAACAATAATATCAAAAATAACAAATTATAATTATCAGTTCGAATATGACAAGTATTACCTCGTAGAGTTTGATTTTGATGTCGTTAATTTACTATAGAGTTTTGCTGATCCTGTACTGCTTGCATTCGATGAACTACCACCACTTGAGGAATTTTTTCGCGAATAATACTAAAAATAAAGATAATGTTAACAAATAAGATCATTTTTAAAAAGATAATCGGACCAAAGCAAAAATTGAGTCGTAGCTGACAATTATCCAACAAATTACTTTTTAAGCGTCAAACACATACATGTAGGCTATATAGAGAGTTTTCTAACAATGAAATAGTGTGTTTAAAATATTTTTGATAGATGTTTTTTGAAGTTTTTTTTTATTTTTTTTTGTGTGTGTGTGCCATTATACTAAGCAAAATACAGCGGGTAATTCTATTTATTTTTTGATATTTTATCAAGTACATACCACCACTGCACAGCAGCAGTGTTTTAGAAACGTACTACTGCTGATTTCTAGAAGCAATAAATGTTGTGTATTCCTATTTTATATCTTCATGAGAAAATGACGCTTACATGTTTGGTTGGTAGTTCTGAATCACTCTCGTCAGATATAGAATGATCGTGCATATTTTCATCATCTGATTCCCTAAATGAAACGAAAAAAAAAAATTCAATAAAAACATGAATGTATGCAACTATTACTACTTAACATACATCTGTCTCACATGAGTTTGACGTCTTAAATGTGATCCATGATCTAATGATGCTGAACGTGTTTTCATTTCCGCTAAAAATGACAAATGAGAATAATCACTATTCATTTTAGTACACTCGTTGTTCGACACATACCACGTTTCTGTTCAATTTGATGTGATACAAGTTTTTTAACTGTTTCAATCCATCTTGTACTGTCGTCATCGACGGATGGCTGTAATAGACGATATAAATAAAGATTTAGAATAAAAAGAAGAAACTATATGATTTACTTGTATAACATAGGACCAATCTTTTAGAATTAATTCAAATTTTCTTCTATCGCCTTTGTAATGTGTTGATAAACTAACATCCGATACCTAAACGATATTTCTCATTATTAATGTGAAGTTATAATAGAACTAATATCATTAATTAACCAACATACTTTAATTGATTCTTTAAATTGATATACCGATCTACTATGACCATCATTTTTCTTTTTACAAAATAATATTTCTTTATCATATAAAAATATATCACGAACACACGTTTTCGTTCTTAAATATGATGTACTACTACGACGTTTTTCTTTTAATATTTGAAAATGTTCACCACGTAATAATATTTTACCCAATGAGTTTAAATTTCCCTAAAAATAAATAAAAATAATAACATTTGCATAGAAAATATTTCTGTTAATCTAATGCAACCGTACCGGATAGCCAGATATAAGCATTGTATGCATGACATTATTTAAATTAGCCAATATATTCAACATCACACTTAATGCATCCTGTAGACGATTTTTATCATTTTCATCTCTCGTATATTTGATCATCTCCTATAGAAAAATAGTAAAAAAATAATAATTGAATTTTGTAAAGAAACACAGACAAACGAACTTTGAGTAAAAGTTGATATTGCGTTATACGTTGAATGGGTTTTAATAAATAAGAATCAAGCGGTAAACGATGACCAAGACTTTGTTGAATTTTCTAAAAGAAGATATAATTGTCGCACACAATATACTTCATCATAATAAGACGAATTTACGAGAAAAAATGGATGTGATGAACAATAATTTTCCCATATTTTTTCTGAATTCGGTTTATTTTGACAATATTGTTCGTATAGTTTAAAATTTGATTTCTACAATAAAAAATAAATGATATGATAAATGATATGTTAAAGTTCATTGTTCATCATGTTGATCTTATTACTCGTTTAATAAAACAGTCTCCAATTGCAATTCCCATACATGTTACCGATGTATCATCGCAAATTATTTGTAAATCACGCAAAAAGGCACTAGAAATTGAATCCCGTATTAGATACCGTTTGTCTTTCATAGTAGATGATCACTGCTGAGAGAACGAATTCTGCGTCAGTCTGGCTGCCATAACTGTAGTTTAACTACTAGTAAAAGAATGTGTAACCATTTTCAACAGTCCTCAATTAAACGAAAGATATTGGACTATTCGACACTGTTCAGTTGTCAGCATCTATACGAACAATGGGCGCTGTAAAGTGGGATATTCTTCTTCTTCCTTCCGCAATAAGTCCGCACTTACTTTGAATGAAAATTATAAATATCGGTTAAATTTCCAAAAAGAATATTCTTGTTTTGTAAAATAGTAGGTGCCAAGTAACGATATCTATCAGGATCATCGAACTTTGCCATATAGCCCTTGAAAAGAGAAAAATTTTCATATTTTTTAACATACATATATTTTCATAATACACTTTTTACCTCAATTATTGTTTTTAATTCGTCAACGTAAACTTGTTCAGTCACTAGTAATTCTCTAACAACGTGTCTATAAATTAAAACAGGGTATTATTTATTAAAAGTAGCAATTTATATCAATACTGTTTCGTCGCTTCTTTCTAAGTTATTCAGACCACAAGTCTATAATTTCACTGCTACTCACGTTAACTGCATTGTCTCTTTCAAGTACTTTAACGATTTACCTTTGTAATCGAAAATTAAAAGTAATTCAATATGATTTTGTAAAACATTTACTCAAAAATCAGCTTCCAATGGTAAATCAGGCACTGAAGAGTCCGAAATGGTTTGGACAATGTCCGAAATAGTTATAAATTGATTTATAAACGTTTATTTATAAATTTTTGATTTATAAATGGGTCGTCTGCTGAAAAATTGGCCGAAAAAAGTTTAGAGTTATAAATATTTATAAACTACCGTATTTCACACTCTTCAGTGGAGCGGATCAATGAAAACTAACACTTAATAACTCATCCTTAGGCTGTTTAACGTATGACAAAAAAACTGACTTTTAATCAGCTAAAAACTGGAAAAAAAAGCCCGTCAACAGACACCATCTTTTGTTCGTTATTTCACCGCGTATCATGGCCTCAAAACAGACATTCAACTGCAGGGATGTGGCGAAAGAAAAAAAGTGGGGGGGTGCAATAGTGAAGATCAACGTCATATGATCTTTTTTCTGGTAGTCGGTTTTTCAAACGAGCACATTGTAACGTTGAGATCTTATAAAAAGCTCTATAGCAAATCTACCAAAAAAAAAGTGGAAGGGTGCGCACCCCGTGGTCGCCACATCCCTGTTCACCTGCATGTACTTGAAATTGGAATTAAAATCGGCCATTAACTGTCTGTTAATAGAGCGCTTTAAACAGTCAGTACCACGCATACATCAGTTAAAAACTGGTGTTAGAGTATCCAGAAAAATTGGTATAATTCTGTTATGAAGAATTACTAAGAGTTGCAGAACGTCTCATTTTGTAGAAAAGGTTTGCTCTACAAAATTCATTTATCAAAAAAAATTTAAATGTGTTTCTAACAAAAATATGAACATTCTTAAACGCACTGAATCGCGAAAAAAAACACTTTTCCACAGCTCGTGGTTATTCTCAAAATAAAACTATAGCAGTGTTCCTGGATGCCCTAATACCGATTTTGAACTGATGCATACCTAGTCGATATATCAAGAAAAACCTAGCAGTGAACGTTGACAGTTAAATGTCGCTCATTATTAACCACTTATTAACAAATCATTTAACCTTGAGTATTGCTGTCATGACTAATATAAATATAATCTGATTTTCTCTTGACCTCGATTCTTCAAGTCTTTTTCCTTCTTCGATTCTACAAGTCATCGAAACTTGCCTCAAGAAGGTAGCCTTTAGTTTTGGAACTGGTAGTAGCTAGCTGTAGCTCCATGGTCTAAAGAACTAAACATTTTTTTATAGTTTACACATATGTAACATCATCAAAACAGTCAAAAATGTTATCATGGGCTCCTGCCTCTTTACTTTTCTGTAACGAAAAAGCGGTTGTAAAACAAAAAATTATTTAGAATATCGTAAAATGATCAGTTTTTGGTCGTAATAAACTGACAATTACTAAAATCCTCTCATTCAACTGTCTAAAAACGGTCAAAAAATTGTCTCTATGGTCTATTAACGGGTATTGAGTAAAGAACTAGTCGCACTGTTTTTGATGACCTGGACCGTCTTGCTCCTACTCTACTTTCATTTCGAAGAATATGCTCTGTTTTTCACGCTTTACGATGCATGTTCTCCAGTCCTATTGTTATCTTTTCCTCGTGGATTTTTCGTTCTTCGATGCTACCAGAGATTTGATGCCAGTGTGCTCATCAACGTCATTTCTTTTTCTCATGAAACAAAGTTTATACTTTTTTAATTCATTCGAGCATATTGCGACAAAGTTCAGTGTTATACCTTTGTTTTCTATCTATTTTCATATTGATACATTCAATGGATTCTGTGTCTGTACTATTCGCTGACAATGATGATATCAAATTCAAGGACAATGATGTTTCCAATGTTAATGGTTGTACTCGTTGCACTGGCCTGTTGATCGGTTGAGCTAATTTACGTAATTGTTCGCAACGTTTCTCACACAAATCCATTACATCATTAACACGACTTAACACTTGACGTATCATCGACTGAAAAGAAAAGAAAAATTCTTTTAATTATTAACTATAATATTTAAAACTTACACCTACTCTTAATGGCTCTGGTATATTTGAATTTTGTAAATCATCAATATTAATCGATTTTAATTCTTTTAAAAAATCTTCTAATTCATTCAATGATTTTGCTGCTTTTTCATTTGATAAATGAATTTGATGCATATTTAACATATCTTTGCCTTTACTACACCAGTAGTTAACCTTAAACACAGAGATCTCTCATTTAAAGAGAAAATAAACTCAGCAAAAATAAACAATAAGGACTAGTTCTTCAGAGTCAATTTAAACTATTCGATTTGGTTAATAAATTTGTTCAATTACTGTTGACTACTTTCAACATTAAATAATTCGTTTTGAACATCTTGTCGATGCTAATGACAGAGTTTAGGGTGAATTTCTCATGATTCTAGCTATTGGCGTTCCGTTCTTAGTCTACTATGTGAACCATACCAATTCTAGTTTATCATTGTAACTTCTTAACAATAATAGATTTTGTCGTTTCTCTTGAATCTGTTCATTTAATTTTAATTTAATTGTTTCTAATTCTTGACATTTTGGTTCGATTGAATCGAGACCATAACTTTGTTGTTTTGTTATCAAATTAAGGCCATCATTTCTGAGGCTTGTTGCTTGTTCCATAACAGACTATATATCAATAACAACAAATTAAATCATATATATACAAACGAAAGTGTAGAGAGTGTTGAGATAGTATGATTATATATGTAGGATATATATATTTTAATATGTCAGTGGTATGCAAACAAAACATCGCGAACTTTAGATGATTCCCATATGTTGAGTTTTTTTGTATTTTTTATCATCCTTATTATCTATCTATTGCTCTCTCTTTCTTTTTAATAATAATAATAATAATAATATGACAATATTTGTTTGTAATACCTGAGCACGGTCTGTCAAGATGTCAAGTTGAGTTAATATATTATCTATTTCAACAATAGAACGATCACTATTTGGTAATATGCTTAAATCATCCAATAATTGAGTAAATAGACCTTGAATCTAAAAGAAAGAAAGCATAATCTTATGCACGCACACACACCACACATATCACAATTTGTTAGAAATGAGGTTTATTTAAACTTTTATCAAGGATATATTATTAATTCTATAAACGTATGTAATATTACAAAAAAAATAATATCCTAAACAGGATTTGAACTAAACTGACAATTAAATAATCTCATTTTTATAGCAATAAAATCGATATATGAGCTAATATATCTGATTTTGATAAACATTTTTCTTCCATTTACATAAGATTCTCAAGATTTCTAACTCTTAATAATGAAAGTTAAAGGATAAAGGATGAATAGGTGTCGTGAAGCATTATAAAAATAATGAGGTGTTAATATATGTTACGAGTTTCTATAATTTAGTGATATATTATCTCTTAACCTTAGAGAATTAACTCTTCGTTTAACCTTGACAAATCCTAGGTCAATTCAACTCAAACAGAGTCCGTCATACTCAAACACCGTAATATAGTTGGTAAAATAGCTAACCTCTTTAAATCTTGTTTCAAATCGTCGTAATTCAAAACATCTTAACAATCGCGGTTGATGGACAGACCAAAATTCTTTCAATACTTTGTCACTATTTTCAATATGCATCAGAGCACTAGAAATAGAAAATTAATGGCAATAGATTAAGAATAAAATATCAATGATGTACCTACTTGCATACTCCTTTGCTATGTGCTACTTTATCTGGTGCCAATATGGATGATGTCGATGAATCTTGACTATGTTGTATAATTCGTAAAAGAGATTCTCCATAACTCAAATTAAAAAAAGACAAACAATTAGATTTGTTTAAATTCTTAGTATGAGAGCAACCGTATCGCCTATAGAGAAGAAGAAGAGAAAATGAGATGCACCTTTCTTTGAGTTCTCTTCTTTTTCTTACTCATCGCTACAGAATTAAAAACTAGACTAATTCCTCTTTTTCTCTCTCTCTCTCCCTCTCTCTATCGTGAGTGTTGAATTCTTCTTCTCTGTCTCTCTTTTTTTATCATATTTGCACGTCTATTAGAAATTTGTACATAAGAGAAAAAAGTGGTACATTATGCATGTATGAATGGATGTCTAATACATCTGCATGTATGCCTATATATACAATAAATATATATCATTTATAAGTATTCTTTTTGGTTATTTGTTTACACATATGAATAATCAAGTAACCACTTTATCAAAAATGCAATGTGTGGAAACGTTCAGTGATAGAAAATATAGACTCTCTCTATACCTTCGTATGAACCATTTAATTATGTAATATCGACGTTGATACTATTTTGTATTATAGTTAGAATGGCCTTAAATCTATTTTTTAACTAAGAATGAAATTGAGCCAATAAGAATCTACAGTAAAACACATTTTCTACTTTTTAGTAAAAAGGTTAAATGTTCATTTTGTTATCTAAAGACTTTCTTTTTTACTTTCATCGATCAACTGATAATGTAAAATGATGTCTATCTCTTGAAGATTCATCTCTTCTTCACTTTTTTGTCTCTCATTCACACACATACACACTTGTGCAGACAACACTTAGATCTATAGCTTAAATACTTTATAATTACTGCAGTTCAGATAAATAAAAACGAACGAATCTAAACGTGTATATACATATATATATGTATGATGAATCACGCTGGCACTTAAAATATAGACTAGAGAGATAATATAATATAATCTATCCAACATAAACACATGACAGATAAGTGAGATTAATTGTTTGTCTATATCCAAGAAACGTCGTATAAATCGTCATTCTCTATTGTGTTAATTCGATGTGTGAAACAAACAAAAAAGCACTCTAATGTGCCAATTACCATAACTTTAGAAGCAGAATGCCCCAGTACGGTCATCAAGTATCAGAACATTCCCACTCATGTCTTATATTCCGTAGAATATATATTTTGATAAATAAACAACATGATATGTACTATACAAGATAATAAAATTGAGATAAAATTTCATGATCGTACATAAAAGTATCGTTAGTTTACAACGAAAAATTTGAAACGTATCAGTCATTTTTAGATTCCTCATAGGACACGTTAATAACCGATACCATTCACCATCGTTTGCTTATCTTAATCCTGTCTAATCAATAATAAGAATGTCTTTTATGGAAGGGAAGTTCACACTGTCAACTATTAGTTGTAAATAAAAGTGAATGATTATTAAAGACATCAGAATAAATTTATGTAACTCTACGTAATAAATGAGAGAAGTCTGTCAAGTATCATGATGATTACAGCTATCAATTTCGCTGAACTTTTTGATGTTTTTCTCCCACGTATCACAAAATTAAGCATTATATGAACAGAGAGACTGTAACCACAGTGTATATGTATATATATATATATATATGTGTGTGTGTGTGTATGTGCACTTATGAGAGTTTATCTTGTGACCGTTGAAAAAATCTCGTATATCCGTCATTTCTCTTTGTGTTGTATTGTATAATAATAATCCCTTAAAAGTTCTCTTACCATTTTGTATTGTCTAATTCTTGTTCTAAATCTTGTTTTTCTGATGAATGTTTTGCAATAATAAGTTTTGTACCATCTACATCATTTGGAAATTCACATTCTTCACTTTCTCGTATGAATGTTGATAATGATGAATTTAAATCGTATATTGCTTTTGTCAATTTTTCTATAGCCTAAAATGTATCATATAATTTTTTATTTTATTTTTGAATTTAATGAAATCATCTATCAGAGAACGTACTGCTCGTTGTTCGATCCATTCAAATAATCTAAAATCAATTTGTCCGCCTAGATCTTTCGATAATTGACTTGAATCAAGATAATCATGTAATTCGGCTAACGAACGGCACACAATAACCTAGAATAAAGGTTATGTTCAAAAGATTGCATGGAATATCCGATGAATGTCTTCTTCTTCTTCTTCTTCTTCTTTGTTTCACAGTGACTATTGAATTATTTATTTTATCCTATAAATTAGATCGAATATTGTAATAACATACTTTATGTGAACATGTTGTTTCATTAAACGTTAATTTCGATAGAGCACGTTGAAATATACCGTTTGGACGTAATAGATAGATAACATGAATCGAATAAGGAAAATAATCCTTGAAAAACAACACAAAACCATTAGTAAAACATTACAGGTAACATGATTAATCATACTTCAATATAGTTAATTATAGTTTTAACAGAAGTCCATTTGTCTGAACGTCGATCAACAACGATAACAAAGCCCAATTGACGTTCATTTTCACTAGAAAATATGCAAACAAAAAATCTAATCCATCTCTAAACAAGATTGTTCACAACAATAATTATACAGTTATTTGATTCATAAGTTACTCTGCGTCTGAAACTTCTAGGAAGTCTATAGCCTGTAAATTTTACATTGTTAAACTAGCTTTTTCGACTACACAAATTAATCCCGTAGAGTATTTTCTCTCACTCTAGAAAGTGTGAGAGTTAACCTTGAAAAATCCTCAGTTCTTATATTTTTACCTTGGCACTTGTGTTAAATATGTAATAACTTTTTTATATTTTTCTTGTGATATATCGATATTAGGATTGTCTGGAAATGTAATTATTGGACAATTATGAGTTGCACCACCCGTAATAAATGCAATGCGTTCTCTTAGAAGATCGGCCGTTGTCATTACACTCAGCGATGTTTCATTTAAGACATGTTCTAAAGGGAGAGAGAAGAAAAAAAAAATGTACTTATAAAATTCAGAAATTTGCCGTATGATATTTTTAAAGAAATCTTTATATATTAAATAAATAACTCTTAGGTATTATTTTAAACTATGTCCACTTGTCAAAAAAAAAAATACATAATAGAGAACGTTATATTGAAGTTCACATCATACATATTGAATATGTAAAGTGGAATGATGTATAATGAGAAAACACAGCAGTACTTCGTTTACAAATAGAAAATAGATCTGTTTCTGATATTTATGATGAAAGTTGATTTAATCACAGTATGCTCCTATTTCATCACATAAAAGATAACAATTGTTTGTTGGTCTGATCAGATTAATAGGAACATTATGAAATAGAGATTTTCATGATATACAATAACACTGATAAATCCCATGGCTGACATATTCCTTGGTGCGATGTCATTTTCAAGTTCTTGGAGCAAATAATAAATGTCAGTCAAATAAATCTTTAAATAGCAATAATCTTCGAATTTTATTTAATTATATTCTCTTTCATTTTCTTCTTTCATATACTCACCTATTGCCACATAGAAATAGAGTAACTCATGATGTTTGTACCAATTCATGATACTATAAATTTTTTTTACAACGAACTAATTGCAACACGACAAAATTTAACACATTAACAAACGTTCAAATCATTATTATCAACTTTTTGAACTGATTTGATAAAATATATAAAAAAAAAAAACTTTTTTTATATGATATGACAATAAGGATGAAGATAGACAATAGAAGCCATTGTTTGCAGAGAAGTTGTTTTTTAAACGTTAATTAGGAGTTTTGTTCTTCTTCTTTTTTTTTTTTCTTAGTGTAAATAACAACAAAATTACGAAAGAATATGCACACATAAATACAATAGACGTCTCGTTGTTAAAGACAAAATCTTTATGCAGATAGATATTTGTATAGACAAAAGTTTAATCACAAATGAAGAAGAAAGAGGGAGAGAAAAAGAAAGACCAATGTATATAACATATGATCTTCTCATTAATAATGAATTCTTATACGAATCAATTTTTTTCCTCTATGTGGTATATGTGTGTGTATGTGCGCGTTCAGGAAAGTATAACGTATACAAATTAGATTTGTCTGAACAATTGTGTGTGTTCGTGCTCAAATATTGACAAGAAAACATATATTGGCAGTATATTAATAAAATTATTAAATATATTGTGAAAAAAAGAGTTTTTCTTTTTTTTTCTCTACTACTAGATCAAATTATGTATTCTAACTGCTGTTGCTATCACATATCTTGACAAGAATAAAAACTGAATTAAATCAAAAAAAAATATAAAAAAATTTTTTGGGATTCATTTTTGTTTTTTAGAAGTACAAAAATAGATCGAAAACAGAATGATATTCGCATAATTTGTAGACGCTACCGATCAGAAACTATCATCTATCAACTTACAATATCAAAAGGTTTAAGAAATTCAAATTTAATCAACAAGATACATCAGACACCATAAAATTAGCATATACACAGATACACACATAGAATTCAAGGTAAGATAATTATTATCATAAACAAAAAAACAAATGAATAAGATCAAACTTCTGTTGATCAAAAGAAAAAGTTATAATAACTAGCAATTATCAAAAATTTAAGCGAATACTCATTACTTTCTCTATAATTTCTGAATGAGAATAATAATACTCAAGTCTTACCCTGTTGTAATCGATGGTGGTGGTTATTATCATCATCATCCTCTGGCATTTCAATGATATCATAATCACCTAATGATAAAAATGATTTGTCTTCATCCTCCTCTTCACTTATATCAAGACTATTTTCATTTTTATTGTCATTAAATACGGAATTAATTTCAATCGAATCCTCTCGTACGGTTGATAAACGATTAAAATCTTCACGATTAAAAAAACGACCAAATCTGTGATGTTGAGTACAATTTATATCTTGTTCATTAGTCATCTCTGACATTTATTGTATTCTTGAAAAAATACATTAGAAATTAATAGAAAAAGATGTTAACCAACAGTAACAGCATAGTTCAGAGTTTTGTATACCTGTTTTCAAATTAGGCGCGTATCAGCACAAAACATTTTCGTACTATGTAGTATATCAAAACACGTTTTTTATATTATTATTGAAATCAAATACTCATGTATTAGTAATCGTTGTCTAAAAAAACATTCTTCAAATGATAAAACTACTGTCAATTTTGGTTTCTTTCGTAAAACCGGAAGCTTACCAGTTTAAAATTGTTTTGTTTTTTACGTATATATATATATAAAGGTAATAACAGATATATACAGAGAGAATGACATTCAGAACTTGTTCTGATTTTAGAGAAAAGAAAAAAAATAATACCACTTCAATGCCGATTTAAATTCTTTTTTTTTTTGTTCTTTTTATTCCAGTTAATGGCACAGCTGTTTCTATACCAGAGAACCGAATCTTTTAAGTAGCTTCTATTATATTCAAAACAAAAAAAAAAATCTTTATCTTTCATCCATATATGCACATACAATCACAAAAAAATATTTTTTCTTTGAAGGAGAACATAGAGAAACGTAGTTTTTCACTGCTCTACTTTATCCAAGGTTTTGCTTCGTTTTTTACACATGTATATTTCCGGAAATAAATAAATAAAAATCAAATAATATAATTGTTTTAAATTCTTTTGAATGATTAAATTGTTGAATGACAGATTTTTAAGTAACGTTTGAATGAATAAAAAAAACTTGCACATATCCCTTTGTGATATCTGTTATCATATTAAAAGAAGATTCTATTCAAAAATTGTTATACAACAGAACATTAAAAAACAAATTAAATGAGATTCACTTATTTAAATTGCTTTTAATTAATTTATGCTTTGATGTTTGATTCTATCACAAACGGAGTGTTCACAACGTGAGATATACTAATGAAATAATTATAACCTATGGTGTGAATCACATACGGAAGCTTTCTCTCCATAACAGATATGGACCGACACAACGGAACTGTATTAAAGATATCGTCACAGAATTTAGAATGTAAAAAAAAGGTATGGAAATGGAACGTTGAACTGTCGCCATAACTTTGAAAATTTTCTTTCTTTCAGTTTCTCATTTCATCTCTTTAGATCTTTCCTCCTTTGTCTCTGTTTATTACAGGCTATATCTGATGAAAGAGGGTTTAACCTTGATTCGTTTCTAATTACTCCTGCTCACTTCTGATGCCGATGTGTCAAAGTAGATAAACATAGAAAATTGTATGCGTGAATATTCGAAAAATATTTGGATATTTACTTTCGGTATTAATATAATTTTAGATAATGTAAAATTGTTTTCCTCAGGAGAAAGTAAGTTATCTTCAATTTTCCAAAAAAAATCTTCTTCACAACTTTGTAACTCGCTTTGCCGCCTCTGAACATGAGTCCAAATCTTGTTTTAATTGCTAAGACAGAAACAAATAATTATACTAAACTTATATTTATATCTACTCGTTTGTCACGTAGAACATCAATATACATGAACGAAGTGTTAATACATCGAATAAAAAATATCCTACAGTATTCCAAAAATCTATCGATTTATACAAGATGGGCTTTGTCAAACCTAGTATGTTAATCTCAATTAGAAAAATATTTCAAATCTTTTTTTTTATGCTGTAGCGGACAACTTTGGTAAATACAGCACATTATTAGCAAAAAAAGTCGCGTATAAACGAGACATGGCCGAAGTTTACAGTATAGATTTTTAGACTTTTAATAACAGTTTCATAATATGTGAATGGTCATGGTTTGCTGTTCCATTTTGATCAAAAATATGTTTACTCTACAAAGTGACACTATACGAACTGAATTCATTCATAATTAACTGAAATTGGAGACTTTCTAATAAATAATTTTCTAAGACTTTTGTGAAACTTTTAATATCGTATAAGGAACATGAACTTTGACAGCGGCAGATTCTATAGGTAATTTGATCGCATCCTTAGTACTATATTGTCTTTTGATCAAAAATTCACTTTTTTGATAAGATGAAACATTTAAGTAAGTGGAATGGTTTCCACATTTGTTATATTTTGAAAGCATATCTCTTCTCTACAAACTATAAATGCATCGCTTAATTCTACTTTTTTCTTATTGTCATTTCCACGCCATTTCACACACAATTATTTTATTTTATTGTATGTTTTTCAACAAACATTTAAAGTTGAACGCACTTAACTTCTATTCAATACACTTCTATTCACATTCATACATTTTTCCATTATATCATATATGACTTGACGAAGTTCTTCACGCAAAATATTTTAATTATAATACTTTCGTATCGCTATATACTACGGTGAAAAGTCGAGAAAATAATTAAAAAACTGAAAATATATTCTTACCCTTTTCTAACGTATTATTAATTGTTGTTAGTTTCGCTGATGATGATGATGGTGTAGTTGTTATTATAGTTGCTGAATTTGGTTCATCGTAACATTTCTCGCTGGTCCATGTTGTGGTTATTAGAATACTGTTATCATTCAATGACCTACAATTTGTTGTTGGCGAAGACATATTTCTATATTATTTATTATTATGTAAGATTTTGCCGTAAAATGCTAATCATGTTATTTTTAAGACAAATTTCTTCTTTTATTATTCTATTCCATTATACGAGATCGTTTAGGTAGAATAAAATGCCAAAGGATCATAACTTTGGAATTTGTTTATATACTTAATTTATTTAGATCAGATGAACTAAAAAACAAATCATGTGCACTTATTCAGTAAACAAAAAACAAATTAGAAACCATATAGGATAGCAAATAGTTAATGTTATTATGCGGAAATTCAGACGAAACTTATGATCGTTTCAGTTCTAACAGCATCTCTGGCGAGAAACACTGGCGAATTCTGTGCACAGAATCTATTCTAGACAAGAAACGAATCATGTGGCAGATACAGGAAAACCATAACAAAGTGAATGATTTATAATTTTTCTTCTGAGATTTATTGGAAGCTGATATAACCGTAAAAATAACTAGAGCCAAGAAAAAGTTTTGAATTTAGAAACTCTATATTTACAAACGTGTAGGCCTGATATTAGACTACACTAAACTTCTTCATGACCGTATACTTCTTCTCAATGAGTGTCAATTGTTTAATCATCGATCGTTAACATCTCATCAATCAATCTTAGACTAAGATGGTGTCTAAATTCAGTTTATACTAGATTATATTTTTATTAACTACATCACAAGATAGATACCTTTAACCTCAAACTTTCGAGACTACATATGATGAAAAAAACTGATTACTCAAAAAAACAAAGTGTTCGTAAACCTGAAATTTCTATATCAACATGTTATCTTTTAATAAGATATTTGGTATAAAAAAAAAACATCTCTTCTATTCGAGCCTATAAAACTACATAAAAATATTAAAAATGAAGGGATGTTCTCTTTATTTCAAGCGAATATAGTTAAAATCAAAATAAATAAAGAAATTCCATTTCACTTGTATCTCTTGACAATAATTCATAATTCTACGAACAATGATTATTGTCTTTTGAATATGAACATCAATTATATGTGATAAGATTTGAATAAGCTGATGATTTTCTGTGTTCATTCGGTGCAGTGGTGAGTATGATGAAAATGGTAGGTTGTCTAACTGTCATATTCAATAAAGTTTAATTAAAAGTTTCATTGTCAATGATTGTTCAATGTATAATTGTATCTATTCTCTTGTCGTTTTTATTGCTCTCGATGATTAAATGACTTTATTACTTTTTTTTAAATTTTACTTATTGTTAGTGTTTTTGAATAACCAAAACGAACATACTCAACAATATAAGTTACTAATATCTCTCGTTGCTCTGTTTTGTGAATACTTATACAGAATAACTCACTATTTTTCATTCAGTTTGAATTCTATTAGATATTTGCACTCTGAAATTCTTATGATAAATCACTTTTACTAAAAAGAAACCTTTTTACTAGCACGTGTTATCGATTTGTTGTTACTATATGAAACTATTAGACCATCATTTAAAATATAGCATTGATGATTGAATTTTGTTTGAAACTGAAAATAGGGATACATTATAAGAGTTAGTCAGTATTCAACACACGCACTTCTTACGTAATAAATTACAAATCTATTTTTTTTACAGCAAGCTGCATTTATGATTTTATTTTACTATAGAACTTCAATGTATCATTTATAAATGAAATTTGTACTTATAAAAAAATATGAAAATTTCTTAGTAAACTATGTTCATATTTTAGATGAAATATTGATTAATAATATATATTTTTGAAAAACTAATTTCATTTGAATTTACTCACCATACAATGACAACAGAATTCTCAAAATTTAAAACGATAAAAATGGTTTGTAATTCTTCTTTCTTTCTTTATCTTTCTCGTCTCTGTTACATTTTATGATTATAACATGTGATTGTGTTAAAGTTCATCCCTCTATGGTCTACAAAGATTATTTCAATGATCGAGAAGAGTATATGAATAAAAAGAGGGGTAATTTCTTTCTTTTTTTTTGTGATGATGCCACAAATAAAAAAATTTGTTATAGTAGTAGGAAGAGGAGAAGAGAAATCGTAATAAAAAATAGTTAAATGTACTGTAGGCGTCTAGATCTGCAGTACGCGAGATAAAACAACTTTAAAAATCAAAAAAAAAAAAAAAAATGAGAGAAGTGGAAGAAAACGCATTCTACTACGTACAAAAGAGAAAGAAACCGAGGTGTTTGTTACCTTACGGAAGATGATTTATGTGTTGTTGCTTATCTATCGTAGCATGTGTTACGAAACGACAACTGAACTAAAAGTTCAACAGAGGCTATCAGAATCGAACATCATGATTTCTGACAATTGCTTTTCTGAATAAGGCACAAGTTATTAAAATAAAAAAAAAAAAAAAGAGTCAAATGTAATTTAAGATATATATATAGTCGTGTCAATGAACAGAAAAATGAC